CTGGAGTCTGCCCTTGAATTACAACAAATACCTCTTGTGTGTCTGAATGGAGGGGTGTGTGGGTGTGGAGAACCTCTGACCTCCCCCCCCCCAAGGCTGGAATATAGCCAAGTGTAGCACAGGAACCCTGAAATCACTTACAACAGAAGCAGCTTGGCGAAAGCAATGGGATTCCTCTAAAGCTCTGGAACTGTGGCTTACCTGAGCTTCTTCAAATCACTGTGTGGCACCTGGGGTCAAAGCTATATGTCCTTCAAAAGTACCAGTTAGTAAATCTTGCCTAAATGAATGGACTGGTTTGGATTAAACAAAGCAGGTATTTGGGGTTTTTTTAGCAGCACTTGAAAGAACACCTAGAGAAACTGAAAAATGAATCCTAATAATTAAAAAAAAATAGGAACATTGTTTGATGGCTGATTGCATGCTGTTTGTGGGTAAAGTTACAATCGTTGGCTAAGTGTTTAGCCACACTTATCTTTGACCCTGCGCTTTCCAGGCACAAGTCCATGCCTTAAAGCTCTGTGTCCAAGCACCATTTTGTCCCCTTTCCTCCAGAGCTTTTCCTGCAAAAAAACAACAAAAAAGCTCTTTAAAACAGTTATTAATGTGTTCCATGGATTGCTGTTTGCTCCAATTCAGTTTTAAAGAGCAGGTTTTCACAGTGGAAGTTCCAGAACAAAAAAGGGGCACACAGACATAGAGCTTTAAAATGTGGACCGTGCCTGGAAAGCTCAGAGGAAAGGTAAGTGTAGATAAGCCCTAAGTTACCGTACTAACTAACTATTCCACTTCAGGATCTTTGCTTTTGTGTGACTCTAGGATCATGCAACAGTGTAGTAAATTTTCCATAAAGGTAAAGGTAAAAGTAAAGGACCCCTGACAGTTAAGTCCAGTTGCGAATGACTCTGGGGTTGCGGCACTCATCTCACTTTACTGGCCGGGGGAGCCGACGTTTGTCCACAGACAGTTTTTCCAGGTCATGTGGCCAGCATGACTAAGCTGCTTCTGGTGAAACCAGAGCAGCACACGGAAATGCCATTTACCTTCCTGCCGGAACGGTACCTATTTATCTATTTGCACTTTGATGTGCTTTCGAACTACTAGGTTGGCAGGAGCTGGGACCGAGCAACGGGAGCTCACCCTGTCGCAGGGATTCAAACCTCCAACCTTCCGATTGGCAAGCCCAAGGCTCAGTGGTTTAGATCAAAGTGCCACCCGCATCCCTTTTAAATTTTCCATAGCTAACCACAAAAAAACATTAAAATGATGGTGCAGCCCCTAGCCTGGGTCAATTTCAAGTGGTATAATGGAATCCCATATCATGTCCTGTACTGTTCCATGAACATGACAATCCAGCTTTTGCATCCTCCTGCCTAACAGGAGATCTCTGTTCTAGGTTCTAGCTAGCCATTCCCTCCGATGGCAGCGTTTCTCTCCCTGCACCCCATTTCTCCTCCCATTTTCCACATGACACTCAGCATTCCATGACTACTAAGCACACTAAGTCTTCAATTTGGTGTTTTTACCCCCCCATACGTTGCTTTCATAAGAAGATTTGCTTCTGCAAACATCCCCCCACCTAACATGCTGATATCTCCCTTTCATTTCTGAGTGGGCTTGTTACAACTCCATAGTCATCAGCCCCCACAACCCACCATTAGAAGGAGTGATGACTTACATAGAACTAAAATACTAATACTAATAATCCTGCTCCTCTAGTTGAGTGCAAGGAAGCTGAAGTAAACAACCATCCTGCTGCCAGCTTGCTGATAAATTCCCCCCACCCGCCCCTCCTGCCCCATATGCAGCTTAATACTTAATGGTAGAAGACATTGGAGCATTACGCATTCTCTTGACTTGGAAGCCTATGGCTCTGATCTCATTGCTCATGTAGTCGGAGATCTTGCTGAAGGGATGCTCTCTGAGCAGAAGCCTCATCGTTTTAGTAGGTCTTGCTAAAAATAGCTGTCTTTCCCAGAGCGGTCAGTGTTTCCTTTTGTCCCCTCCTTTCTTGCAAGAATGCAGCAGTTCTTTCCCCACAAATGAATGCCTTATTTTGCATTCCCTCCTGTAGCACAGGGCTTTAGAAGATCACTTACAGAAAGAAGGAAGCAGCACAAGAAGAGAGGTGACGAAATTCCTCACTTCTGTGCTGACGTTCTTGAGATCAGCTTCTGATTTTTATCACCAGACTTAGAGCCAAAGTATGTTTCAAGCTGTTTTACTGAGTTAGCAAAGTTAGGAACTGTGAGGATTTCTATGGGCAACGGTAAACAAGGGAACAATTAGAACTGGCAGCCTTTCTCAGATGAATGGGCTGTGCAAGCTAAAGGTGACTACATGGTGTGAGATGGGGAACCAGTTTGCACATGTGTGTACTTCAAATGATTTCTCATTGGTGCATTACTTTGCATTTGATGGCCTGCAGGCAATTTGTGTAAAGTCTGATACTGAAAAGCATTGCTAGTAGAAGTGACAGGAGGGGAAGTTAATAGTGCTCTCTAAAGTGTTCTATCAGTGGCAGGGAGAGAACATCAGTCATTGTGCCCTTAGAATGGAACTCATCATCTGCTGAAAAAGTGAAGGTCCCTCCTCCTCCTTTTTATTTGTATGCCACTTTTCCACAAAATTGTGCCCATCAAGTGAACAATTATGTATAACAATTACATGTTCAAACCATTAATGTCAATAAATAAATACAAAAAAAATCCATTTAAGTTTGTATGCAACACTAGCAATAAGCCAATCTAATTTAACAGCTGAAAACTCAACAGGAGAGAGAACAATGCCTAACACATAAATTAAAAAAGTAGTATACAAAACATCCACATGCTCTAGGTGGTCTTTCCCATAGTTTGGGTCCAAGACTCAGTCTCCAAACATTCAGGGACCCCATCCCATCTCTCACCTGGGGTACCACAGACACACCCGCTCTGGCTCTCACCCAACAGGGTCTTATGGTCCTATTATCATGACTCTTGGTCCACACAGAGGTCCTGCACTTGGACCTCTCACCCACTCTCTCTAGTCTAGAAGTGGGCAACCTGTGTCCACCTGCATCCCTCAGTCTTGTTGGAAACCTCAGCATCTCCCAACCATGGGGAGCACAGGACATCCTTTGGAAAGATGCTCCTGTTTCTGTCATGAATACAACCCAGGATTGGAGGAGGAGGGCACAGAGACCAGGGTGGCAGCAGCAGTTTTCAAAAACAATTTATTCATTTTATTCATTCAAGAATTCTCAACCATCCCACACATTCACACATGCTCTGCAGAAGTATAGGTACCCAAGACAAATGCTCTGGTCAAACTGGCCAGTCTAGCAACAAGCAAGGGCTACTCTTGGGGATGCTGCAGAGGTTTTCTCCTCAAAATATATCTGCTTGCAATGGTCTTTTACTGGCTGATGTGTAGATTGTAGATGTGGCTTCTGGATTGCAAGGGCTATGTGGCAAGCAAACAAGATGTGCTGATTGCAGACAGTCCCCAGACTGCGAGGCCTGTCATCACCTTTGGCAACTGTCCTGAAATGCAACATGTCTTCGAAGCAATGTTGTTTTCCTTAATCCGATATTTTAAATCCTGTTTATTTAAGATAGCCATCAGCAAGGGCCATGTTCCCTGTAGCGTTTGCATTTATTTCCAATGCTCATCCACCCTTTCATTCATTCCAAATAGCAGTATTACATGAGTATATTCACATAATCTCCATTTTGCAAAATCATAGGTGCGTGAAACAGCTAAGCTCATCGCAGCACCTGCCGGCTCGTTTCTCTTTCATTATCCTCATTGCACACCACTCTCTCTCTCTCTTAAGATCATCAGTAACCAACACTGTTTCCTCTCTTAAGACTACCACCACCACCCCTTGAAGAAGAGAAGAAGAAGAGTTTGGATTAGATCCTACCCGAAGGAGTCTCAAAGTGACTAACATTCTCCTTTCCCTTCCTCCCCCACAACAAACACTCTGTGAGGTGAGCGGGGCAGCTGCATGTGGAGGAGCGGAGACGCAAACCCGGTTCACCAGATTATGAGACTACCGCTCTTAACCACTACACCACACTGGCTCTCAGTGAGATTCTTAAGGAAGAAAGAGAACCAGTGTGGAGTGGAGGTGGCGGTGAATGTGGGGTGTGTTAGGTGGTAGCAGCACCTGTTTTGTTTAATTCAAACTAATCCATTCTTCCTGCCCACTACTAACTCTACCGCTGCCCATTGACAGGCGACTCTCAAGAGATCACCTCCTAGATAATGCAGCTCTCTCTCAATGGGGGGAAAAACCTTGTCCATTCTTACTCTAGGGCACAGAGTTTATCAGTGTTCAAGTGTCATACCTTAAAAAGGTAAAGGGACCTCTGACCATTAGGTCCAGTCGTGACCGACTCTGGGGTTGTGGAGCTCATCTCACTTTATTGGCCGAGAGAGCCGGCGTACAGCCAGTGGCGTAGTGTGGGTTGTCAGCACCCAGGGCAAGGCAAGTAATTTGCACCCCCTAACCCGTGGATTTGCGCCCCCTAACCCTAACCCCCAGATGTTGCGCCCGGTGCGGCCGGCCCCCCCTGCACCCCCCACGCTACGCCACTGTGTACAGCTTCCGGGTCATGTGGCCAGCATGACTAAGCTGCTTCTGGCGAACCAGAGCAGCACACAGAAACGCCGTTTACCTTCCCACCGGAGTGGTACCTATTTATCTACTTGCACTTTGACGTGCTTTCGAATTGCTTGGTTAGCAGGAGCTGGGACCGAGCAACAGGAGCTCACCCCGTCGTGGGGATTCGAACCGCCGACCTTCTGATCGGCAAGTCCTAGGCTCAGTGGTTTAACCCACAGCGCCACCCACGTCCCTGTGTCATACCTTAAGGCCAGTTAAAAACTGTGTAAACATCCACTCTGGCTGACTAGAGATGCAAGGCTGGTCCCTCCACAAGGCCATAACCATTTTCATGCGACAACACTTTCCAAACAAAAAGGGAGCCAACAACGAGAAAGCACACAAAACATGACTTACGGAGGGTTTTTATTTACAGTGACTCTTTAAAAGACTGAGAAAAACATCCATTTATGGGTGGGTGAATGATGAATTTTTTAACCTTAGGCAGCTGCTGAGACTCCTTTGTGTGTCCTTCTTCTCAGCAGAAAGGGAAAGCTGTGGTAGCAGCCGCCACTGCTGCTGCCTGGGGGATAAATAAATGGGAGCCTGGTACATGATATGATATGTGTAGAGAGGGCATCATCAGGTTAACAGCAGATTCTTCAAAGGGCATCAAGAGACAGGTTAGTCTGAGATGCTGTAAAGTGTACCTCTATGATTTACAGAGAGATGGGAGGCAACTTGTGGGGGCCGGCATGGATATGGTACTATCAAGGTATAAAGGCATAAAGCAGCTCCAGGGCTCTTTCACATCTTCAGTGCTTGCAAATACAAGATTTCTGAAGAGGAAAAAGCAGAGGGAAGAAAGGCATTCAGATATATTAACAGATATTCCAAAACAGTATGTAAGGCAAATGGGGAAACATGGGTGCTTGTTCAGAATCACAGCTACTGAATTTCAGCAAATCAGTCAGTAAGTTCACCCCAGGCTATCGAAGCCCCTTGGACCCAACAGGATGGAAGAGTCTATCAGATCTCTGCCTGGCCACTTGTGAAATGGTTGTGCAGGACACCTTGCAAATGGGATGCTTCTGTAGGCAATGCCTGGTGGAACTTCAGAAAAGTCAAGAGGTTCCCAGGAGCTGCTTTAGAGGATAGAGCTGCTGTGTTTTGCTTCTGCTGCTGCTAGTATTTCATAGCACCTGGAAACACGCAAATTTAGTAGACCATAAATTATGCAGCACTATATTATAGTTCATAAAGGTAAAGGGTAAAATTAGGTCCAGGCGTGGCTGACTCTGGGGTTGCGGTGCTCATCTCACTTTACTGGCTGAGGGAGCTGGCGTACAGCTTCCGGGTCATGTGGCCAGCATGACTAAGCCGCTTCTGGCAAACCAGAGCAGCGCACGGAAACACCGTTTACCTTCCCACCGGAGTGGTACCTATTTATCTTGCACTTGCACTTTGATATGCTTTCGAACTGCTAGGTTGGCAGGAGCAGGGACTGAGCAACGGGAGCTCACCCCGTCATGGGGATTCGAACCGCCGACCTTCTGATCAGCAAGTCCTAGGCTCTGTGGTTTAACCCACAGCGCCACCCACGTCCCATATTATAGTTCATAATAATGAGTAATTATAGTTCTTAATATATAGCATGTGAACAAGTGTCTGCACTCCACCCTCCTCCTTTACAGCCATGAGGATAAGGTAGGAAGCATCAGCTTTCATTTTTGATGAATTACAGCTTAACACTATGTTGAGAGTGGGAACTGTGGTTAGTTTTAACAATGATTTGCTGAAACAAGCCAACTTCAAGCCATCGTTTACGATCCTGGCATGTTTGGATAAACCATTGTTAAAGCTAACTACAGTTCTTTGTTCTGGCGTAATGACAAGCTGCAGTTTGGTGAAAGTGGAAGCAAATGCTTTTGCCATCATAAAATTATATAATTTTAGAATTGGAAGGGACCTTGGAGATCATCTAATGGCAACTCTTCATTCAGTGCAGAAGTCTGTAATTTTAAGCAAGCCCTCCGAACAGATGGCCATCTCACCTCTCCTTAAAAACCTGGAATGAAGGCAGCCCACTCACCCAGTTACATGATTCAACCGCATTTTCAGTTAGGAGTTTTATCTTCATGTTAGCCAAAATCTGTTTCCTTGCAATTGCCACCCATTGGTTCTGGTCCAACAGAGAACAAGTTTGCTCCATCTTCTACCTGATAGACTATGAGCACATCTTAATCAGTCCTTCTTTGCGCTAACTGTATTCAGTTCGTTCAACCACCTCTCATAGGACTTACCACTTACAAATGTGAAGGAAAGAGCACGTGAGGATTTGTGTAGTGCTCAACCACAGTTTATCATGTCTGAATGAGATGCACCAGAGTGCATCTTCTGCATTTCTAGGACCAGCCCGTACTGTGGCCCAATGATTAAGGGATCTGGTCTTTGAATCAACCAAAACCTGTTCTATTCTCCAAGGAATTCCTCAGTCAGCTCCAGAGTCATGGAATTTCATATGTCCCTTCCTTGGGGCTGGGGGAAACCAACACGGCTTGCAAAAATTGGGCAACTTTGGTTACATGGTATGATTCATTCTACTTCTACTATGGTTAGGGAATGTCAAAGAACTCTGCATGGCTGGAAGTCTGTCCCTTAACCTTCTGCAAATCTTGCTCACCCCCTCCATCCTCAACATGCTTTCTGCAGAATTTCACAAGGTGGTTTTTGTTTTTTTGCAGTCTTAAGAAGTAGAAACTTGCTTTTTAAAAAAGCAATCTGAGATGACTGGGCGGAAAAACAGACTGCTGGGAATGGACTTGGAAAGCTGGTTTTTTATTACATTATTTTCCCTTTCCTCTGAAATATGCAATGACTTTCCTCAAGCTATTTTTTATTTCCTAAGCTGTATGTTATATCACTGCCCTTTGTTCGAGAAAAGATGGGCAACTAAGTCACTAAATCACTATACAGAAGGGAAACGATTTCTCTTAGATTTGACTGGCCTTGAATTACTGTTTCTTCATTTAAAGAAGCAAGTACATATTAGGGGCTTCCAGGCTGTTGCTATTTTAGGCTGGGTTTCAATCCCATACTGGCAAATTCAGGTTGTGCAACTGAAGCTGATTTGGTGGTCTTGAACAATAAGCCTACTCCCCATCTGACTTTTTGCAATAAAGGTGGCAAAAATGCAGAGGAAAGTGTAGGATAATCCTTCCTGCATGTTCCCATTGTGTAATATCCTCCCAAACTTTGTACAAACAAATCAGGATGAATGCTCAATAAACAGGTCATTTGGAAGCAATCCTAGTTTCCTTAGTGCATACAGCACAGGCCATTGTGTAAGGCAACCACAGCCTACAGTAGGCTGGACGCAACAATTAGGGGAGTTGTAATGGCAATTCTGCATTTCTGGGGACTTTGTATAATATTGTTTTAAACTGATGACCTTAAATTAATTGGGAGAAATGTGCATAGCCAGGATTTTTCTTAGGGGGGTCAGGCTTTTGTTAAGGGGGCAAACTTTTGTGGGGGGGCAGAACCTCCGAATTGTATTAATTGGGGGGCAGCTGCCCCGTGCCTCCCCTTGGCTACACCCATGTTGGGAGGATTTAATTTTCCTTCTTTCAGAAGACAATGATCTGCTTTTCACAAAGACTATTTTTTTCTTATTAATTAATGCCCAGGTACTGTGATTTGTATTTCAGCTGAGCCCAGGATTTGCTGATGGCTCTCTAGCCAGGAAAGAAATTTTTTTTGAATAAAAGCATCTTTAGGTGGCTCATGCAAGGCATCTTGATTCATACTAACAGTCATGTTTGAAAAAGATGCAAGTTTCCAGCATGTGCACCCTCTCATATGGCCTCCAGCCATTTCCCGACAACTATACATTCTTCCTGCCTATGAGCCAATAGCACTTTTTGTTGAGGAAAAAAAAGCAGCTTATGCATTCTACAGAAACTCAAAATATTGCCTAGTTTGTCTAATCCAGGGATATGGGATGGAAATTTTTCCAAAACCTATTTTCCCCCAGTGCTTTATTTTTCCAGTAATCCTCATACCCCCTGGCCACCGTTAGTTCATTAGTAACAATGTATAGATGTCAACTTCAAATTGAATATTAGGCAAGCTTGGGAATTTCAACCATTTAGCTTTGTTTACTAAATACAAGTTAAATAAACATGCTAATTACATAACTCTCTAGGTCAGGCACATCCAACAGGTACGTCTACCGGTAGCTCACTGGACGTCTTTGGTAGATCACCGGTAGATCACTGGCTCCCCTCAACAACTCAACAACTTTGGGTCGCCTAAAAAAAATCAAATCAACAACCCAAACCCCTAAAAACAGGGCTTTCCTCCCTAAAAAAAGCTCAACAGCTTTGACCTGAATCCCCCCCAAAAAACAGGGCTTTCCTTCCTAAAAAAAGCTCAACTTTGACCTGAACCCCCAAAAAGGGGGTAGATCACTGCCAATTTTTAACTGTCAGTAGATCACAGTCTCCTGGGAGTTGGCCACCCCTGCTCTAGGGCATCAGAAATTTTCCTGATGCAGATTACCTTTTTAATATTTCCTGGGAAATCTGTATCACTAATCTTAACATTTCTGGTTTCAGACTGTGGTTTTCTAAATTTCCTGTTTCAAGGCACTCCAAAAATGTCTGGGCCAGGGCTCCTCTTGGAAAAAGAAATTCATTACATGCATAATCTACATTAACTTATTAAATTTAGTTTACAAATGCTCTTTCACTTTGACTCTTTAAAAATCATGCTGAAATGTTCAATGTGTATGTGGGGGGGGGGAGACACATACACACGCATACATTACTCCAAAAAGGTCACCACATGCACAAGTCTGACTCAATATGAAAAGGGCAACAATATTCTTCAGCATTATTTATTACATTTGTGCCTTGCTGGTTCATCGTAGGGCTGTTTCCATATGGTTTCAGACGGAAATCACCTCAGGGCCAGACTCCCAACAGCTTTAGCAACAGAGTTTCCTCCCAGCTTTCTCTGAATGGATTTAAGAAACAGTTGTGCCGATTCCCTGAAAGGAAAGATTGCACAGAACATATGCTCCCTAGTCAGCCCATTCCAGGACAATTAGCTTGTTCACAGCCCCTGATGAGCAGCTAAAGCTCCTTTGACAAATACCTCTTAAGAAGGAACATAGGAGCCTGCTGAATAAGGCCTGGGCACCCTGTTCTTACAGTGGCTAACCAGATGCTTGTGGGAAGACCTCAGGCAGCACCCGAGTCCAGTAACACTCTACCAACTTGAGATTCCAAGCAACTTGGCATTCAGGGACACACTGCTTCAGTCAGTGGAAGTACAACATAGGCATTGTGGTTTGTAGGTTGACAGGGAAAGAGCTCATCCTGTACGAGAAAGAACTTGGCAAGTAACACGAGGGTGGTATCAAGAGAGACCCCTTTTCTTCTCCAGTGTCCCACATAACAGATGCTGAATTATACTCTCTCGGTTTATATTCCTCAGTCTGACTCAGATAGTTCCATCAGCAATGCAGGAGCTATTCCCCTCTCAGCTGACTTCAGGAAAACATGGAGCTGAATTAATATGGAACAGGCACGGGGAACCTGAGCTTTTCAGAAAATAGCCCGGCATAATAATAAAATGGGACTGGGTGACATTTTTGTTTTGTTGGCATACTTTCTTACTTAAAATATCTGTTGGGATATATGGTTTATGTTGTTTATTTGTTTCTGTAGTGTCTTCTGCTCTTACCTGAGTGAGCATGGCAACATTTTATTAACAAAGGCTTCATTTCTCCATAAGGTTAATTAGTAATTAAAAGCATGATCTATTGTACCATAGTCAAAGGATTTGCTCCTTTTTTATCGATCTTTGAAGCAAAGAGAGGGGCCTGAAATTATTAGACAGGCTTTGAAGGCTTTGAAGTTATTTCTGCATCTTTGAAGGCTTCAAAAATTTTAAACCGAGCATTTTCACACACACACACACACACACACACACACACACCCGGTTGAGTGTCATGATTTCAGATATTTAGTGTGAAAAATATTTGTAGCTAAATTGTTCCATTTTATATTAAACAGAGCTTATAATTGCACTAAGGGACGTGGGTGGCGCTGTGGTCTAAACCACAGAGCCTTGGGCTTGCCAATCAGAAGGTCGGCCGTTTGAATCCCCACGACGGGGTGAGCTCCCGTTGTTCGGTCCCAGCTCCTGCCCACCTAGCAGTTCGAAAGCACATCAAAGTGCAAGTAGATAAACAGGTACCGCTCCAGGCGGGAAGGTAAATGGAGTTTCTGTGTGCTGCTCTGGTTCGCCAGAAGTGGCTTAGACATGCTGGCCACATGACCCAGAAGCTGTTTGTGGACAAACACTGGCTCCCTCGGCCTATAAAGCGAGATGAGTGTGCAACCCCAGAGTCGTCTGCGACTGGACCTAATTGTCAGGGGTACCTTTACCTTTACCTATAATTGCACTAGGAATTAAAAATCTACAAATTTGGGGCGGAATTCATATTTTTGTGTATGTCATAATAACACCATACCCTTGAAGAAAGCCTTTTATATTTGCCAAATTAGGCCAGTATTAGTCCTCCAGAAGTTGTTGGGCCACAGGTTCGTTACACCTGCTTTAGTAGGGTGGATTGGATGCCAAAGAATGGCAGAAGCAAGACAAGAGATCTTCCACAATGCAGGTCTGAAGAGTATCAAAATGTGTGGCTCAGTAACTCAAGATCCCTGTGGATTTCCTCTCAGACCTATGCTAGGAGATATCTCAAGGGTAATGACAAAGAAATCCCCAGAGATTGTAAGTACTGTGCTTCCACAGAGACACACTGACGGAGGCCGTCCTTTTAAAAAAAAAAGGGGGGGGAGAGTCCTTAAAGGGAATACTTTTCTATTAAGTCACTCAAGATTTTCTTCTCCTGCGAAGATGGTTTGGGTTGGGGTTTTTTTTACTCCCTAGGCTCACAGTAATTATGTGTTATGCTCTGCTAAGCTAGAGTTCTCAAAGGCCCAAGGCGAAGCAGCCAACAAGGTTTTAAACCTTTAAATTTCAGATTGCATTTGTAATTAAAACATTCTTCCTAGCAAATGCTTCATGCATAGGATGAAATTTACTCAAATTGGTATGTAAGCTTCCAAGCAATAATCCATATGAATCTCTAATGAAACACTGGAGGAAACACCCCCTCTGTGCCTGAAGACGTGTACCATATAACATAAAATTCTCTCTGATCACATAATAAAACAACGCCAAGAATAACAGCTTCTAATCTAAGGCAATTCAGGGAAGATTCCCCATCCAGTTTATTCCAGTGAGCAGCCCAAGTCCAATCCTAGGTGCCTCTAGACTTTCAGGATTTTGCAGGAGGGATTCACACGCATACTGTAAATTTAAATGAGGTTTTCCGCGCTTAAAATGGATCATGTTGCTCTGTTGCCCTAGCACAGGGGTCGGCAAGGTTTACCTCGCCTGAGCCAGTTCACTCCAGTGGAGATCCGATGTCTGCGTAGACACAATTTCCGGCGTCTGTGTCTGCGCAGACATGATTTTCGGCATCTGCGCATGTGCAGACGTGATTTCTGGTGCCGTGGAAGCGAGTCCCAGTGCTGCGCTGCGCGGTTTAGAACAGCGCATGGGGACTCACCAAGCGGGCAGCTTGGTTTGGGGGCAGCTCGTGGGCCGGTTAAACGGGCCCCGTGGGCAGCTTGTGGCCCATGGGCCTTAGGTTGCCGACCCCTGCCCTAGCACAACAAATCAGCTTTTAAAAAACAGCAATATTTTTTGCAGTTTGGAAAATGATGGGTAAAACGTATTGGCCCCAATGGCTCAGTTGTTTAATGGGATTTGCTTCAAGTAAGCTGTTGGCTTAGTCTCACAAATGCATCACTCCCGAGGACCATTCTGCACAACCCAGGACTGATTTGAGGTTATAAATACCAGAAAGTGAGACACTTGGGGCAACAGGCAAAGTTACTATTTCAACTCAGGCCTCTATCTCACTCATACGACGACACACTGGAGTTACTTCTCTGTTGCAGCTGCAAGGCGTGTGTGACACCGCAATCATATGGACAGGATGTGATCCTCCTGCCAAAAAGAAGAGCGCCAATTGGCTGGGGGGCAAGGCAAACAATTGGTCCTGCTCTTCTGGCATTTACCCAAATTGGAAATGTATGGACTACCAAGCTGGGTGGGGTGGGAGGGGGTATGACTCCCACAGTTGTATGCATGCAAACAGAGCCCCACACATCAGGGGACAGTTTATAGAAAGGTGATGATAAGATGCAAAGGTCTGCTGTAAACTTACAGAACTCTGAACACAAGTTGGATATTTGTGGCCCAGCCAGGAAATGGTATTTGGATTCTGGGACAGCTGTTCTCCTCTGGCTGAGGTGAAACCAAAAACCTGCTTCCAAAATTGTGGGCCAAGAAACATTTTCATGGTAGACACCCCTCTTTTCACTGAACATACGAATGTTCCATGGCAGCTTTATTTTTTGTTCGTTTGCCACCTTGATTTGTATTCATGTCTGGAAAGATATAAATATCTTTAAAATAAATATATTCCAAATATTAATGCAGAAAGAATCACACAAGACGACGGAATAAAACAACCGGGCTTGGCCTCCCTAAATCTAAACAGACGGAGAGGGCATGATGTGAAAATGCTCTTACAAAGTGCCACACTTCAGTGTGTGTGTGTGTACTGGATCGCACATCGCATATAAAGACTCTTAGATTTCGCACAGGGAAAAGCTGCCAGCAGCAAGACCAGTGCAAAATAAAATATGTAGCAGGCAGAATGAGCCATTCATGAGGCACAACTGAGGCTAATGGAACAACAATAAGTCCTCTGGGAAGTGCTAGACTATAGCATTTCGTAACAGCAAATGGAACTCTCTGTGTAAGAAAAGGTTACCTATGGATCACTGCGAATCCTTAAGGGATGGTCTTGTCAAGTTCTCCCTGCCCCACACAGACAGACAGCTAGGAAGCTTGAAACAGGCTTAAGAATCATAGGGTCGTTTAGTCCAACGCCCTGCAACGCAGGAATCTCAACTAAAACATCCATGACCACAATGCAAATTCCAATAGCCTTTCTAGGCCAATGCTCAGCAGTTACAGCACATGCTTTGCATGCACATCCCTGAAATAAAGCTTGGAAGAAGCATTCTACTGGAGCAGACAGAATCTGTTGTGGAGTATGCCTGTGTCAATTTTGGAAATGTGCCTACAGCCCCCCACCCCAAGTTGGCAACCCCTGCATTAAAAGATCTCAAGTACCAAGGCTGAAAAAGAGCTGACAGAGATGCCAGGATTGTCAGCTCTTGAGCATTTTCTGTTCAGAACAGACAATAGCAGGCTAGATGAACCAAAGCCCTGCTGGCCCAAAGGGTATGAACTTAGAAATGAACTTAGAAACAAAAGCAACAATTCCAATGATTTATTGAAGGAAGAAATGTGCCCGGACCAGCACTGAAGCCTTTTGTTGTCCTGCCTGCCCACCTCAAAAACTGTCCCACAGCTTGGACGTATTTAGTTTTATTATTGCTATATTATTATTCATAATAAATTTATTGCCCACCCTCACCAGCAGGTCCAAGTGCACGTTGCAACAATTTAAAATTAAAAACTGTTAAAATAGATTACAGTTGCAGGAACATGGTGGGTCAAAGGCCACACAAAGCGGGGAATCTTCAACATTTGCCAAAGCTGTATCGTGAAGAAGCCCATTGCACCTCTGTGGGGTAATATGGTGCTGGCTGCAAGAAATCACCATTAGATGGCCCAGGCATCCTAGGCTACTGACTGGGTGCTACCCTTGGGAGACGTGTCATGGGCTATCCTCTCAACTATCCACTGAAGAGCTGAACAAATTGCCCGAACAGGGAAACTTCATTATATAGCTGGTAATCCTGGCCTCTGTGACCAGTGTTATGTTCATGTTCTTTATCATTATTCTTGGGGGGAATTACAATAAATTATAAAAACCACAATAGTCACTGCGATCAGATCCATGTTCAAAATTGTAATGCCTTATATGATGGGGATAAATTGTGTGTGCAAGTCATGTATTGAAGTTGTGAAGTGTATTGGAAATGCAATCAAAAATAAAATTTGAAGGTTGGTCCTGAAGGGACTCCTTGCTTGGATCACTGTAAGGTCTAGCGCCAGACCTGGCTGGACCTATTAATAAGGCAAGAACCTGGACTGAGTAGCTAAATAGCAATCCACCTTTTGGTGTGAGGATTCTGTCCTTAAATCCACTGAAGAAGCAAAAATAAACTCTTGATGTTCTTAGTGGGAAATGGTCAGCCCATTCTAGAAATGTGTGTAGTAGAGGAATCATCAATGTGGTGCTTGCAGACAAACATGAACTTGAAGAGGCATTCCCTGGTACCTATCGGATCCCTCCTATGCTTAAAAGAAGCATTCCTTTGTACCTAATAGAACAGGTTGCAGTGTGCATATGGTGCCAACAGTTTCTTTGGTTTGCAAAGATGCCCATGGGTCCAAAAAGGTTGGCAGCCCCTGGGTAGAATATTGCTAATCATTGGGAAACACAGTGCTTCACAATGTTTATTTACAAGGCTTCTGCTAAGACATTCTGTCAGATCAAAACGGTTCTTTTCATGCTAGGGTTAGCTACTGCTTCACCCGTCTGCCGGAAAGAAACAGTTCAAGGTCACACCAAGTGAACGCAGTGAGGCTGGCCTCCAGCCAAGGCTTTGCTGGCGCTACCGCTTCTGCTCTTGTAAAGACTTGGAATCTTCCCATGGACGGGGCCCTCTGATGTTCTTCCAGTCGTCAAAGTTGGCATCTTTCAATTTCTGTAGGCATAAACAACAACAACAAGAAAATAAACTAATAAACTAGAAGGAAAACATTCTAAACATCCTCAGGTTCTCTTTATAAATTAAAGTGTCTCCTTTGGAACACATAACGACTAAGATTTGTAGAGGAAACCATTAAGGAAGCATCCCAAGATCAACACAAATGAAGCCACAATTCAGCGTGAGCACTGCTATTTCTCTGTAGCTAAAGAAAAACAGGGACACTCAGACTGGAGAAGCAAGATAAGTACCTGACTCTTTGCAGCACCCCTGGAGCATCTCTTACATTTTGCTGTATCTTGCTTTTGACTTCACCCGTTCTCAACTTCTGAAGCAGGTGGAATTTGTGTGGGAAATAAGAAGCAGTACTGCTCCTCTTGTTCCTGGAAGCCATTTCTCCTCTGAAGTGGCTCTCAACAGCTAAGCTACCTGTTCAGTTACCTACAAAACTGGTATGTTTGGAGGAGCAAGAGCACAGCATGTGAATGCACACAAGGGGAAGTCAATGAGGCCCAGCCGTCAAATGATTTTTATTTTTTTTTACTGTGGCTGTGAAACCACCACCACCACCACCATTTCCCAACTCAAACCTAAAGACTCCCATCCCTGCTGGAGAATAAAATAAGGGGGCTGCTGGGTATTTTTTGTCAGCTGTAGTGCTGAGAATGCAAGGCTCACTGTAATTTTAGTCACTGCCTTATCACAAGGATAGCAGAGCCACCAACGTTGTTTTCTAAATTTTCTACCCACAACCTAACTATGTGAGGTTGCCCTAACTACATTATTCTTGCCCACTAACAATCACGGAGTTCAGATGTAGTCAAAATGGATTAGAAAATGTATTTTATCCAGCTTCGTTTTGTTATGGAGAAAAGGCAAACTAGTGCTACCTACCGAAAATATATTTAGGAAGATGTTCCAAGCCCTGTTGAGCTCAAGTTAGGGGGCTTCTGATAGGCATCTGTTTGGCTCCTATGAGACTAGATTGGCCTTTGACCTGGTCCAGCAGGCTTGTTTAAGTTTGTAACCCAGGAGTGGATAAAGAAAGAAGGCAGGTCAAAGCAGAAAAAGAGATGCTTGTATAAAATAGGGTTGCCATACGTCTGTAAATTCCCAACTTTTTGAAATATGGCAACCCTAGTATAAAATGGCTCCAGCTACTCCAAGTAGGCAGTAATTCCCTGACTGGCTGGCAGGAGCAGTGAAAAGAGTATTCGTTCCTCTGGGGTGGATCAATCAAATAAATTCTTTAATTTACCATATCTTATATGGAAATATTTTTCTAGCCAAGAAATAAGCAAGCTATTGTACAACTTGCACAGTAATTACAGCAATAGTAATAATGGTGTGGGGTGCAGAAAGATGTAGATGGGGGAGGGGAGACCTCATTCCCTTTAAGGCAACCTACTGGCACCCACAGCACAGTGGCGGGTGGGAACAAATGAATGTAAACATTATCTCTGTACAGTGAGCTAGTTTCTACACACACAGAGACAGCCTCTACCCTTCATCCAGGCCAGCAAGATGAAGGATCAGATTCCAAAGACACATTCTAGCCTGGCCAAAACACACAAGGAAGGTGCGAAGCAAGCCTGGCGAGGGTGTGTGGCTCGGAAGAGGGGTGTGACCTGGGGAGAGTCCCCAAGGGCCAGGTAGACTGGGAGGGCAGCCTTGATCTCCCAGACCTCAGGTTCCTCATCTGTGATCTCCAAAGTAGTGGGACCCAAACTACTGACGAGCATTCTCAGGTACTGAAGTAAGGTGAAACATTAAAAAAATATGCATGGTTTGGAGTGTTTAAAACTATGAGACTAACAGAGCAAGACATGGCTCTTCATTTTGCATTCACCGTTGTAAGCTGAAATATACTGGGAGTCGAGAGTGGATTTCATGCTCTTTATTCAGCTCATAGTGGTCAGGAGGAATGGAAGTTCCCCCAGAATGTCTGCTTTATATACATTATTTACACAATGGGCCGCACATGATTGGCTAATTCCGGGATTCACCTGTAGGCCAATCAGGTTGCGGATTCACTTCCACCTGGAGCTGGATTGGGTGGCTCCTGTGGACCAATCAGACTGCTGCATTCTGAATCCTATTGTTCTAGGACCAATCAGACTGCTGCCTTTTGGATCCTATTCAACTCAGTACATAACATAAGCCATCGGATATTTCAAGAGCCACATAAAAAAGAGCCTAGATGAACACAACTGTGGGTTTTAAATGCAGCAAATAAAATCCAAAAGGAAATATGAACAGGGACCAACATACTCCACCTCCCCTTCAATCAATAAGATGCCTTTTATAGCCAATTTATTCTGTTTAAGAAGGGCCCCCATGATTCCTTTTAAGTGAGAACCTCAAACCACCTTCTGTCTGGTTAAGGCATTTAATACTCCCTGAGCCAAAAGGTTTTGTTGCTCTATTACCAACTCAAATTTTCATCTTGCTGGTTTCGTTTTTTGAGAGAGAAAGAGACTAAAGAGTTGCAATTTCTTGCCTTTTGTTGCTGGGCCAGTGACTGAAAGTTTAATATCTTGTGAATGTGAATTGTTTCTCTCCAACTAACAACCTCCTATGGGGAGGCAGATTCCTTACAGGTCAGGGCTCCTACTAGTGATGCAGACATACAACTGGTGCAATTTCTTCTGTATGTCAACTGTGCATGGATTGTGCAGAAGCTTTACAGGAGCATAGTCTGCTCTAGTCCATTATTTGGCCACTGTGTTAAATACTGTTCTACTGGGAAAGGTAGCATTGAACATCAAATGGCTTCTAGCATTCCACAGAAGATCCTAAACAGAACCTTATTAAGAAACTTCATCAAGAAGTAAGACAGCCGCAAAAGTGAACAGCTGACAATTCAAGAGCCCTCTGGTAAAACATTCCTTGATAAGAATAAAAAGTTCATCTATTATATATTTTGGAAAGCGGTTTGTCTCTTTACCTGTTCTCTATGCATTTGGACACCTCTTAAGATATTGTAACCAAATGGTTCCAAAGATCAAAGAGTAGGATTTCTCTATAGTTGCATATAATTGGACACTATTTTGAATTATTGGTTTAATATTTTGATGTTTGGGCTCTTTTGGGAAGAAAGGCAGGATAAAAAAAATAACCAATAAAGAAATAAGATGGCAGACTGAGCTTTTCAAAACTGCAAATTTTAATCAAATCATAATCAAAATTTGCACGATGGTGTTTGAAATGAAGGAGCAGTGGTTTTTGTCAGTTTTGTCTAATTGGATGCCATTTTGTATCAAGATGGTGACCCAAATCTTTCAAAACTCTGCAGATTTTAACCACTGATTCCAAAACTGGTATCTTAGAATTCCTGAGCAATGTTATGCACTCTTTGCCAATTCTAATTTGTAATGGGAGAGGAGATAATTATTTCAACCAAAACACAAACACAAACACACACACACACACACACACAGAGAGAGAGAGAGAGAGAGAGAGATTATGTCAGGCCACTTATGAGGCACCAATGTACTTGGTTCAACGGCACCTTGAAGTGTGGTTCTTTCCTTCTGGATCTGGCAATGACTCTGTTGTTAGTTTTGGAAACACAAAAAGGGGAACTAGTGCATAAAGAAATGACTGTGTTCATGTTGGTAGTTACTCAGACAGAAAGAGCATGTCACTGGAAGACAGCAAGCTTTTTGGTAAAGGGATGGACTGCCAAAGTCTGGCAGCTTGCCTTGCCTGAGAAGCTTACACAACATTGCAGAGCTAGCAGAGGACCTAAAGTGAAGGACAAATCTGCAGATACTTGGATGCCTTGCCTAATGTATATTGGCAAAGGTACCCCAGCATTGATCCCACCTTCAGCACATAAAGAGAGGTGTGGCTGCACATTCGTAATGCTTTAATGTGTTGCAATGGAAGTGTGAACTCAAAGTGGAAAATAGGTAACGGGACAAGAGCTTCAGTACTCCAAAGTTTGTTGGAAGTTGTTAAGAGTTCATTATTGTAACAGAGAATAAAAATACTAATCACAAAGTTTAAAGTACCGTATTTTTCGCCCTATAGAATGCACTTTTTCCCTTTCAAAAATGAAGGGGAAATCTGTGTGCGTCCTATGGGGCGCATGCAGGCTTTCGCTGAAGCTTGGAGAGTGAGAGGGGTCGGTGCGCACCGACCCCTCTCGCTCTCCAGGCTTCAGGAAACTATCAGCAAGCCTGGGGAGCCCGCGGGAGTTCCCGCAGGGCTCCCCAGGCTGCGGATAGCAGCCTGCTTGCCGAAGTGCGGGGCGCCCTTAAGCAGAGCACCCCGCGCTTCGGGAAGCTATCCGCAGCCTGGGGAGCCCTGCGGGAGGTCCCGCAGGGCTCCCTAGGCTGCGGATAGCAGCCTGCTGCACGGAGCGCGGGGAGCGCTGAAGCAGAGCGCCCTGCGCTTCGGGCAGACATCGGGCAGCCCCACAAGCTCGGGGGACAGCGGGGAGGCGCAGCGCCGCCATCCCGCTGTTCCCCGACCTGGTTTTGGGGGGGAAATAAAGGAAAAAAAAATTTCCTTTATTTCCCCCTCCAAAAAACTAGGTGCGTCCTATGGGCCGGTGCTTCCTATGGGCCGAAAAATACGGTACCTCCATGACAAAGGGAGCCAAGTGCTAATGTTATTGCTCTCCTGTTCTAAGCTACGTGTCACTGTAATTGACAGACCACACAGCTGGGGAGGGGGCGAGGATACAGTGTTATATATATATATATATTTCACACTAACGGTGAAAAATATTTACCCTTGCCCTTTTCTTCACCAACAGACTGCTAAAGTTCATTCTCTCATGCTCATACAGGGCTTATTGACCCTTCCCTTTTGCCCTGCTCTTCCCAGGAATAGGTTCCCACTTTAAAGCTCCATGTCTGAGTGTTGGGGTTTTTATGCTCCGGTGCTTTCCCTGCAAAAACCTGCTCTTTAGCACTCACTCAGAGCAAACATCGATTTGCGTTTTCTACTGACTGCTGTTTGCTCCGATTTAGCTTTGCAGTGAGGGTTTTCATAGGGAAAGCTGCAGAGACAAAAAAAAGGGCATTCGGACACAGAATTTTAAAGCGCGGATGGTGCCTGGAAAGAGTGAAGGAAAAGTAAGTGTGGATAAACCCTCTTGCACACCCAGGAGGCAAAACAGTTGAGTAGTTATGTAAGAGAGATTTTGAACTCTTCCAGAAGAGTGGGTAGCTTCTTATTTGCTTTATCAACAGTGTTGAGTTAGCACTTTCCATGCCTCATGCCACTGCTCCTAGTCAGCCAGGATCACCATCCTTCTAATCTTCCTTTGCTCCTTAGCTCCTGGAGGGGGAGAAGTGGCTGATGGGCCGAGAAAGGGTGCAGGAGGCTTCTTGGGATCGGGCCTTCCAGCTCACTTGAGAAGGCTGTGGGGTTTGAAGCAGAAACTGGAGTGCTTGGCTTATGAAGACCTCTGCATGGCGTACCTTACACACACAGGTTTACACTAGCATTCTGTTGGAACTAATGGGGTACCATGTACAGATTTTTTTAAAAGTGATTTTCGTTTCATTACACAAATATTGGGAGTTTAAATCCTAGTTATGCTCAGGAACTTGAGTGTGTTTGAACCCTTTTTTAAAGCTACATTGCAGAATCCAAATTAAGAACTGAGGTCAAAGCATTCATGTTTTGGGTTGGTGTTTACTTTTTTTTTTAAGTGCTCTATTAAAGGTGAGATGTAAGTGGATTTAGTCTGTATGTATTGGAGGGTAGGGGTTGCTGTGGAATTTATGCCTTTCAATTTTTGTCTGTAGCCAAATTTTTGTCATATACCCTTTGTATGCTATAATATATTAGCAAACTGTGAATAAACCATTCACAATTTAGTTGGGGGGTAGAGAAAGTGGCTCGTGACCCTGCCTTCTCCCCATGGTTCAGGCTCTCACCCATTCAGCATGCTGTGGTTGGAATTCATTATCTCCTGCAGTACCTGCAGTTAAACTATTTCATTAAGAAGAAACGGCACAAGTTTAAAAATAAAGAAGACATTGGGAGAGAAGGAACTGGTTATGGATGTGTTGTGACTTTGCTAGTTTGGGAGCAGCAGTGAGGGGATCCGACAGGAAAAAGAGGGCACTTGCCTGGGGACGGAGCTGCTTGCCTCCCTTGGGTGTTCAGAAGGTGGGGGGCCCAGAGAGCTGCAAGGAGAAGCTGCCACTTAATCAGAACACAGAAAAAGTGACAAAAATAAAATTGCAGCCAAAGACAGGAGACAGGTTCTTCTTTTCTCCCCCGCCTCTTGAACAGCAATCAATCAAGCCAAGCAAGTTGCTCTGAGCAACAGGGCAAAGGAAAGGGAAAGACGTGTGCAAAGTGGCGATATATTTGTCTTCCCTAAATGTCAGTGCACACCCAAAACACACACCTCTTTCAGAAGTCAGAAGGGTGGCACTAAGGCTGTCTCCACTTGAGAAGAATGCACTGCTCTTCTTTTTAAAAAGGTCAGCAAAATTATGACATGGGAAAAGTTGACAGAACTGGGGGTGGGGGTGGGGAGAAAGTATGGCCGTGTGTCACATGGATACCTCACGGAAAGCGAATGTACAAATCATGGCTCTTGAACATTAAAACACTAGTGTAGCAATACCCTCAGTCTACTCATTCAGCGGGACGCGGGTGGCGCTGTGGGTTAAACCACGGAGCCTAGGACTTGCTGATCAGAAGGTCGGCAGTTCGAATCCCCGCGACGTGGTGAGCTCCCGTTGTTCGGTCCCTGCTCCTGCCAACCTAGCAGTTCGAAAGCACGTCAAAGTGCAAAATAGATAAATAGGCACCGCTCCGGCGGGAAGGTAAACTGCATTTCTGTGAGCTACTCTGGTTCGCCAGAAGTTGCTTAGTCATGCTGGCCACACGACCCGGAAGCTGGCTCCCTCGGCCAGTACAGCGAGATGATCACGCAACCCCAGAGTCGTCCGCGACTGGACCTAACGGTCAGGGGTCCCTTTATCTTTACCTTTACTCATTCAGCAGAAAGAGGTGATGAAGTCTGGACAGAAGGCTTCATGCGGTGGAATATCATTTTTAGAATGCTTCCACACATAAAAGAAAAGAAAGCCAGAAGAAATGACCTTGGAGAATTTGTGGAGATACAAGGTAGGGGCTAGAATCTGCTGTGCGGATTGTATTTCTCTTTTCTGTCAGAAATATCCACTGCAAGCAACCTGAAATGATGCAGCCTATTTCACCAAGGCTTTACCACCTCTTTTATTTGCATGTGTAGTTTCAGCTTGAAGTCTAGAGTTTACAGAATGTCTATGTAGACAACTTAGCCTGCTTGCACACTATACCTTTAGAGCATATTCAAAGCACATTCCCTCCCTCAAAGAATTATGGGCACTGTAGTTTGTTAAAGGGTTGCTGGGAACTGTAACTCTGTGAGGGGGTAAACTAGAGTTCTTGGGAGGGGAAAATGAGCTTCAAATGTGCTTTGAAGGTATAGCATGTGCAGCCTATGGCTATCCCATATATAGCTTGAAATCTTCAGTTCCTTTGGCTCAGTTACTCTAGTATGAGGTATGAAAGGCCTCTCCCTCTTTGCCTCAGTTCCCATTCCCCAAGTGTGATGCCATCACTTAATGGCTGAGCAAGATCAGCTCCTCCCTTCTAGCATGAAGCTAACCCATCCAGTGTGTACCAGTTGCTTGACAAAAACACCTAATTGTGTGTGGGCCCTGAACACCTTTTTCACCCCTCAGAAGTGCACGTGTCTTCGGGGGGAACGGGGAGAGTGAATGAAGTCACCTAAACTGAGTTTTCCACTGATCACATGCTGTGTGGTCTTGAGTTACACTACATGTCAACGGGGAACTGGAGTAGAGGGGGACAAGTACACAATTTCAGTACAAGAATTAGGGTGTCTTCAACAAGTTTGATTAAGGTGCATATAGGAAGGAGGTAGTTCAAGGGGGATGACTTAATCCTTAATTGATTGATTGATTGATTGATTGATGTAAGGTGGAGAAGACTGGATGCATCAATACTTTTGAGAAAACATGCATGCCGTAACAGTCAGAGATAAGATGAGAGACTCAGGCAAGGTCGGCTACTTCCCCTGTGATCCACCAATGCTTGTGCTTGGAAGAAAAATGTGGGTGTTCCTTTGCTCCCTCTCCCAATTTTCCATGATATTGCAGGGTCCATATTTGCTACTTCCCAGCTGGCTTTTCTCCATGCAGATAAGTGTAAGGAAGCAGTCTCTGCACGACAGAAAGACAATATAACCTCCTGCAAGCACCATGAATTGGAATAGACAGAGATATGCAACGACTTGACAGTATATGCGATAGAACTGTCACTTTTGGGAAAGGCCTGTGCAAGCTTCCAGGTCAGGTGAGTATCTAGCAGAGGCAAGGCTCAAGCGCCAAGCACACTTGAGATCCAGCTGGTTCCCTCAAGCTCCATCCCAAAGAGGGTTAGCTTAAATGTTCAAGACAAGCAAAGGATTGTTAGGTGGAAGGAGGAGAAAACAACCTCTGCTCAGCTAGACCCTGGGCTATTTTGCACTTTGCAAATGAATAGACATCAGACAAAGTCAGGTACTGTGTTGTCACAGGGATTAAGTTATTTATTTTACATCACATTGGCTCCATTTAAACAGGGACAATTTCCCCTGCTGCCAACCATGCCCAAGCAGGAAGGAGCATTGTGGAGCCATTAGTTTAGAGTCTTTAGAGGTACAGCATTAGTGAAACTTGGGTTTTCTTGCCTCTTTCTCTTGTCACATCCATTCAGAAGGGACAGTCTGTTATTGTTTCTTTCTGGAAAACTGTTAATTCGCACATTTACAGGTTCAGAAAGAATGAATGAGAAGAGGCAGAAGCAAAGCAGACCCCAGACCTGGAGGCTAATAAGTTTGGAGGTAAAACTGTCACCTACCCCACTGAAAAAGTGTGTGCGTTTGTGCACCCACCCACCCACACAACACGTGCATGGTGTCTGACTTTATTTTACTATACTATATCTTCCCTAGAATTGCTGAAGCTATCCAATTATTAGTTTTCTTATGAGGAAATCAATATAAAAGCAGAAAAACAGGGTACAATACATGTAAAAATATTAAGATTTTTACTTCCAGGGTGTGGTGTTTGGGACCTGCTTGAGCAAGTTGTTCCAACAGACTAATGAGAAAGATGAAAATGACAAGAGGAAGTGTGGACAAAAAGAATTGGAAAAAGAGGGGAAACAGATTCTTTCTTTCAATTCCTCTATGCATTATTCCAGTTATAAGCAAGACATATTTAATACACATACGCAGTGTGGTACAGGAGTCAGAGTGTTGGGCTTGTTGGTGGGAAACAAAACGCTGCATTGGCCTGAATATAAGCTGCCCTTTCCCCCCCAAGTTCCAACTGTGAAAAGTTAAAATGTGGCTTATACTCGGAGCCAAGTGCCGACACCGTCTTGGGGAGCGGGGCACTGAGCGCTGGAAACCCATCCCCATCCCTAGTTCAGGGCAGTAGTGCTAGGAGGCAGGCCACACCCGCAAATAAGCCTTAAATTTTAAAGGTGCAGCTTATTTGCTGGTGCGGCTTATAGTTGGGCCAATATGGTACCCACCACAACTGGGTTGCCTTGGGCACGTCACTTGCCTGTACCCAGAAGACTTTGACTTTCATGGATGGAAAGGCTTCACACATCCATTGAAGGCTTTTGACCCAGTGGAGAGAGCCCACCGACAGGGATGGGGAAGCTACCTTTGCCGATTTCCCCCTTCCCCTGCAGCCTCTACCACCATTGGCCCCATTGTTTCAGAGGGTTCCATATCGCCTCAGACCAGAATCAGACAGCAGCAGCCACATGCCTTTTGTGATGAGAGCAGCAGCCCCACATCTACTTTCCCCTCTCTGTCCATGTCCGTTACTGCAAAACATGTGGTGACCTCTCACTCTGCTGTGTATTCTCTTGCTCCAATTCCACGTGAAGGGGCAGGGGAACTCAAAGTGACATCCTGCAATGTATTTTGTAAGGCTAGTTATTATGGGGTAAGAGAGAAAGCGGTGGCAACAGAAGGGCTGCTGCTTTGGAGCTCTTGCGATGTCTGCTTCTGTCCTCACCTGACTGATCAAGGGTCTGGGAACCAAACCTTATGAGGAACGGTTGAAGGAGTTGGGTATGTTTAGCCTGGGAAAGAGGAGACTGAGAGGAGATATCTAAAGAGCTGTCACAGGGGAGAGGGAGAAAGCTTATTTCCTGCTGCTCTGCAGAGTAGGACTCGAACCAATGGCTTTAAGTTACAAGAAAGGAGATTCCGACTAAACATATGGAAAAACCTTATGATGGTAAAAGCTGTTCCGACAGTGGAACAGTCTCCCTCAGGAGGTAGTACTCTCCTTACTTTTTAGGCAGAGGTTGGATGGCCATCTGTCATGGATGCTTTAGCTGAGATTCCTGCATTGCAGGGGGTTGGACTAGATGACCCTTGGGTCCCTTCCAACTACGATTCTATGATTTTATGATTGCTGTGAGGCAAAGGCCTATCACTTCAGTCATCAGGTGGAGGTTCAAATGACTGAATGCTCCACTGTAACTCCATGTAGAAAGCAAGAATTGAGTGTCTAGGCTACAGCCCTTCTTGCTGACATTCTACTTTTTCTGCAGAAGGAATTCAGCATGGGCCCCACCTGAAGTCTGAAATGGCATAGCCCAGGCACAAATTTGACACCTTTGTGAGTATAAGGCCTAAATTAAGGTTACCAGACGTCCCTGTTTCCTGGGGCCAGTCCCCAGATTTACAAATCAGTCCCCATACAAAACCAACTGAGTTGATAAGTGTCCCCGGATTCATTGAAAAAAAATCTGATAACCTTAGCCTAAATGGCTGCTCTTGAGTTCCTCAGAGAAAAAGCAAGACAAAAAAAAAATTAACATAAATATGCTACTTTGTAGCTCTGAGGAAGTTATTTCAAGGTGTGTGTTTTTAAGCCTGCAGTTCTGTTGACTATTTAAAGCAAATTATCTGTTAGGGATTCATTTGCCACTTGTACCCGTGTTGGTTTATTTTTGGATTTTCACCCGTGCCCCGCCGCTTCAAATAATGCAGACCACGGTGTCCAAGCATGAAATGCTATGCTTTGCATTTTTACAATCTGCTTTACAAGGTGCATCCCAGAAGCAGAGCTACATTCCCATTAGTTCTGGTGGCACTTATAGAAAGAGCAATGATTTATTAGGCAAATGAGACAGCCAGGCCTAGCTGACTGCATAAGAACATATAAGTGTGTGAGCAGAATGCTTTAAACTCTGTAGGTGGATGTGGGGGAAACTGGGGGAAGGAGCTTACTCCCACAACACAAGACAGGATAGAATTCATGATAGACCTGAAAGTGCAGTCATTTGCTATATAAACATATGCACCAATTGTAGCTCTCCCTTGAGATCTTGAACACCATATCCAAAGCAGAACTTTGCACATCTTATACAATTGCTTAGTCGTTTAGTCGTGTCTGACTCTTCGTGACCCCATGGACCAGCACACACCAGGCACTCCTGTCTTCCACTGCCTCCCGCAGTTTGGTCAAACTCATGTTCGTAGCTTCGAGAACACTGTCCAACCATCTCGTCCTCTGTTGTCCCCTTCTCCTTGTGCCCTCAGTCTTTTCCAACATCAGGGTCTTTTCCAGGGCATCTTCTCTTCTCATGAGGTGGCCAAAGTATTGGAGCCTCAGCTTCAGGATCTGTCCTTCCAGTGAGCACTCAGGGCTGATTTCCTTAAGAATGGATAGGTTTGATCTTCTTGCAGTCCATGGGACTCTCAAGAGTCTCCTCCAGCACCATAATTCAAAAGCATCAATTCTTCGACGATCAGCCTTCTTAATGGTCCAGCTCTCACTTCCATACATCACTACTGGGAAATCCATAGCTTTAACTATACGGACCATTGTCAGCAAGGTGATGTCTCTGCTTTTTAAGATGTTGTCTAGGTTTGTCATTGCTTTTCTCCCAAGAAGCAGGTGTCTTTTAATTTCGTGACTGCTGTCACCATCTGCAATGATCATGGAGCCCAAGAGCTTATACAATACAGCTTTGTAATTATTCAGAGGCGTAAGCGCCTTCTTGAAATATATGGTACAAGTACTAAGTTGAAACCTTCTGTAAATTCAGAAACAGGGGTGGGCCCAAGGTGGATCAGGATCTACTGGCAGAACTCAGAGCAACTTCTGGAAAACTGGCAAGGATTTCCGACTCCCAATAGCAAATGTCTATCCCCGCTTCCAACTGCTAAAATGAAAAAAAGTTATTGGGGCGGCAGTAACCAGAAGTGGAGTTTTGTGTAGAAGGTCTGTAAGCTTTATTATGTTTTTGTTCTTCTAAAAAATTCTTTAATTCTAAGTGTATGTCTTTGGCACCAGGTTCCAGTTGACAGGTATAAGAGTTCAGAGCAGGGGTGGAGAGGGGTATCAGATTATGCAAATCTGAAATCTACCCACTCCTTATACATATTTTAAAGACTATGTTCCTCTTTGTATTTCAAAAAAGAACTCAATTCACGGGTGGGGAGCCTCTTGCCTGTGAGTCAGTTTTGACCCAACAGGTCTCCCCATGTGACCCACGAGGCTGCTTTGGGCAAGACATGGCCACCTGCCCTCATACATTATGTCAGGTGTGGGGTAGGAAAGGAGGGTGCTTGGTCAACAGGGACCTTGTGCACTGCTTCCCAAACGTCCAACAACCAGCTGAAGCTTCTTCAGCCCTGTGTTCTGTGATTCTCTTTTGGAAACGCACTATTTGTAGTGTTGGATCAAAAAAAAATTTTTAATAGAAAACCCTCCACTACCAGCTGCTGGCTAGATTGAATTCCCTCTACACAGCCGCATAATTAAAGAAGCCCAACACCTTGTGAGTTTACAGCTCTGTGTACATGTATTTAGCGAAACCCCATTGATTATAAGGTACTTTCAAAACCGAGACAATTTAAATTCCCTTCCACTATGAGAGTTGTTTGGATTTGGCCTCAGTGGGTTTTCAGGCAAAGCAGAAGGATTTTTCAGCCACTTCCTCATCTAGTACAATTCTTGCAAGCATCATCTGAACAGATTTAATGTTTTAAAATTTCATGTTTCTCTGTGCCACTTTTGTGTCATTACTTCTGAATTACCCATGAGACTCAATACCATTCTGGCAATCTAAATACTGGTCTTCAAGCAGCTACTAAAACCTGGTGGGGAGAAAGTACTGCATATCCAAATCGGCACACAATTCTGAGATGAGTTGTGTGTCAAGTGTAAAGGAGAGAGCCTCTTCTTTGCATTATATGATGGTTTCTTTACATAAATAAATCAGAGCAGAGTTACAATAACCAGCAAGGGAATATAGAAGACAAAAGGCTCTCGAAAGGCAACAGAATTGTGTGTTAATGGATTTTTAAGTTATGAGTTTGAGGCAAACAATTTCATTCCACTTGCAAAGAATGATGCTTTCTGTCACCCAAACGATGCAGAATGAAATGCATTTTTAAGCATGTCTCCAAGGATTATTGTTGGGCTTTTGTTTGTTTTTACACCCAGGTGAATAGTAAAGCTTGAAGTGAAAGGGTTATTTACAGGAAATGCCTAAGAATGTAGGAAGAGCCCCGATGGATCAGCCCAAAGGCCCATCGAGTCCAGCATCCTTTTCCTCACAGTGGCCACCCAGATGCTTAAGGGAAACCCACAACACATAAGCACAGTTTCACTCTCTTACTCATGTTCCCCAGCCACTGGTATTAATATGCACAAGAGACCATACACAAAGACCAGAAGAGGGCTGAATCTACATTGGTCCCAACCCTCTTTGGTGCTCCTTGGGACCTGTAACATACTAGGGATTTGGGGGAGGGGGGTGAGATTGAGGTCAAGTACAGAAAAAATTATGGAAGCCTCTCCTGACGGAGATGAAATTAATGTTTAATTCCACAGTCTCCCCACCACAACTGCCACCAAAGATTTCCCAAGGAAATGAAAAACATTTCTTTGCAAGAGTGTATATATATATATATATATATATATATATATATAAATGCTGTAAAAGAGAGCCAGAAAACCTGAAATGTTACAAGTGGTTTGAGAGAACAATTATTTAACAGCCAGTGTCACTAAAGCAATCATATGGTTTTGCAATTAGCCACATGGATCCCATTATAATGTTAGCGATATAAATGGAGACTCCTGCACATTCCAGTCAGACCTGCAAATCTTTTATAGACTAACCACAGGAACAGTTAAAATGTATTTGCAGTGTTGTATTTGGCAGGCGGACATCAAAGAAGAGGAGTGCTATAAAAGGCTTTGAACTCTCAAATATTGCTTCTATCCAAAAGCAAAGGCTGCTTTTACTGGATGCCCATGAATCAAAGCCAGGGCTGTTTTAATTTTAGCTAGGGGAAGAAACACCATTATTATCACTAGTGAAGGGTAGCAAAGAAAAGCCTTCAGTGCTAGAACATGCAGCGAACCATACCTCATATTCCGATTCCAGAGTCACTTTATTCTTCTTGATTCTTTCTGCCAGAGCTGGATCAATCTGCCAAGTCAAAAAGACCAGAAAATAACAATCAAACACTGTACATTTAAGTTTTGAAAAAACATTCAAAACAGGAAATATCCCTTTCAGTCTGTTGCAGTGTGCTGTTCCTCTGCATAGGAGAAGAATCAAGAACTGCATTTCCAATTGGCTCTTTGTCACAGTAGATTCTGGCAATATCTCTGAAGCAGAGAGACTTCTGCAAAGAATGCTCCACTTAAAATCCACAGCATTTCACCTTGATGGTACTACACCTTAAGTCTAAAGAAATGTAGAAGGGAAAAGATGATCTGCATATGAAAAACAGATCATTGAAGATGTCTCTCATACATTTTCATTCATAAAGTAGGAAACTGGGACATGTACACAATTACCTCTCTCTTCTAAAAATGAAAATGAACTCCTTTAGTTCAGTTTTGATCACAAACTAAACAATTTAAGATTGCAAGAGGCTTGCTTAAACTCAGTGTCTCAGAATGGATCACACCAGGAATATGAATGCAAGAATCCTCCCTTTGGGAATCCACCTTGGAAACTGCAGACTGGCATTCTAGAGACTTGGAAGAAAAGCCCAGCTCTCACATTCAAACACAGCGCTAATGAAATTCAAACAATGAACCGACCATTCGGATTTATCTCCAACGTCTCCTAGGGCTGAATAGTTCCTTTTAGCAGCACAGTGCTCATTCAGATTTGGTTTCCCTTGGAAGGACGTCACTAGAGGCTTATGCTATTTTGTAATACTTTATTTATATACAGGTTGAACACAGGTGGAGTCACAGCTTGACCCTCCAATGGACAGCTAAATTGGATCTTCACATAGAGGCAGCCCTATCCCCTGATGCACTTAGCTTACAGAATCTTAAAACTTAAGTCTCTCTATTGATCATAGTCTCCGACTCAAATTACAGTTTCCCAAATTACATTGTCCTTAGCGAAGAATGGGGGACATGCTCTCTTTTCAGTTATTTCCTAGCCATTCTGAAGAATTAAGTAAGATTGTCCAACAGTTAGCTCCAAGGAAAACCCACCACCACCAGAATACCTCCCAGGCTTAGCAAGTTCAAAACTCTCAGACATTGCCTTAAGCTAGGGTATCCCAAATATTTGGGACATCTAGTAGCATATCGTACAGCGCTGATGCTCTTTCTGTGGTTGGTGCTTTATTGCCATTAGTTTTTGAAAAGAACTTTAGGGACCTGTGAGTACTCTTCATCTTAACTGTCTGGAGCCAGTCTCCCCCTGAGCCTCTAGCAATAGTCAACAGTATGTTGTGGGGCAGAGATGTGCTATTTTCAAACACATCTGTGATCCTAACAATTCCATCTTGGTCTCAATAAAGGAGAGAGAGGACATCTGTGCTTAATTCCCCTTCCAAATTGTCACCTTAGAGCTAGAATACAACTATGATAGGTAGTTATATTTAGGAACCACTGCCCTACCCACATGTGACTCAGTAGGTGAAGGATGACAGACTCACAGCAAGGAACGAGATGAGTGATTGTTAAATGAAAGTAATTTATTTATTTATTTATTTATTTATTTATTTTTTAAAAGACCAGATTTTGGAGAGGCCAAGGGGGCCACAAATAAAATTTTGTTATTACAGTGGGGTACCTATGGGAGCAGTTAAACTTTTTTTTTTTAAAAAAAAGGCAAAGCTCGTGAGCACAGAACATTTTAAATAAGGAAATTTGCATATACTACTGCTATATATACCTTATGATAGTTAAATCTCCACAATGGCTCATTTTGGTCCAAGAATAATCTAGTTTCAAAGCAAGATCTGAACTGCATAAATGCAACTCTCTGTTTTCAGAAAGAATAAAGAAGGAAGGGGGAGTAAGACTAGCACAGAGTGCAGGTCTCCAAAGCAGACTGGCAATGTCAGTTTCATTCAGCAATCAGAAATAAGAGAAAAGATCCTTTGATGTTTGAGGATCCCCACCCCCACGCCTGCTTAGGACACCATCTCTATCAACCACTGCAGTGAATTCATTCCTGTGTTGCAGAAGCATTTCATACCCACTATGTATTTATAGATACAATTTCTGTGCCAACGGACTGAGATTCACAGTAAAACAAAATCTGCTTTGTCTAAGGCCTGGCTGATATTGACCCCATAACATATTACAAAAAGAAAAAGGAAACATGACTTTGGAGGTCAACTGTGTGCCCAAGTTCCTAACCAGCTCCCTCAGCCCAAGACGTTTTAGTGGACCTTGGACTGTTGTCAGGTAAAACTGGCCACATTCTACCCAGAGGTTGGCAATAACTGAACAAATGTTTGTACTGCAGGATTTTATGGGCTACAAAACTAATTTACACTGCTAGACAGTTCCAGTACATTTAGAACAGTTGTCTTCACCCCAGAAATAATTATTTACAAACGGTACTGTTTACAAACGGAGATCCCTTTCCTGTCATAACCCACCAAGTATAAAATGAATTCAGCTTTCATCCTGAGAGGGGAAAAGAAGTTAATTTCTTTCCTTGTCCCGGCATCAATCATGAAAGGAAGCATACACGGTGAATCCTAGGTTCCAGCAGAGGTTGCTTTTACTGTGTGCTTTTTAACTCAAGGCTTGAATCTGGGGAACCTCTCAGATAATTGCGTCTATGTAGGCGGCATTGACATGGTTGAAGAGAATGGATTCAGGAGACTATAAATTAGCCGATCAATTTATTGAGTCTAAAGGTAAAGATTATCAATTCACATATCCACTCTTGATCAATGCAATATCAGAGACAGAGCATGCCCAATACCTACCATTATTTGCAACCACCAGGAACCAATCATCACATTTTGCAAAGCTTTTAGCTTCCTTTTGGTTATCTTCCCCCAAAACAATATAAATTGCCCAGCAGGCAAAAGTGGCCCTGCCATCTCCCCTTCCTTTTGCTATGTTGCCATATCCAAATAGGAGAATAGTTGCACACCACTAAAGTTGCATACCAGTGAAGACTTTCACTAATATGACTATATCTTGAGTCTGTCCTGCAGTTGATTCTAGTGAGTGTTTCTCCTTATGTCTTTCATAACCTCCGCAAGGATTTACTCATTTTTTCATTTTGCCTTAGAGCAGGAGTGGGGAATCTTTTCCAGATCGCAGGATGGATCCTCACCTTCCCCAACTCCTGACAAAGCCACTGCCATCAGATGAAGACTTTACTTTGCCCAGGGGGTGGATTTCAGACTGCAAAATCTACTTTTGGAAGGAATTGCATATTTACTTGCTCCATACCTGACAATGTATATGGTGTCAGGTGTAGGCCAAGTGGGTGTGGCTTGGGGGAAATGACCTTGTGGGCCAAATTAAGGCTGCTGTTAGGCCCATGGGCTGGTGGTTCCCCACCACTGTTTTATATAGCACACCCATTTTCACATTCATTCATAAAGCATCAAAATGTGCTCTGAATTTTGTGTTCAGAATACAATACAACCCACTCCCTCGTGGGTTTCTGCATTCTCCCATTTTCAGTGATAAATAGCAATGGCTAAATGTGGTCTTTAAACTGCCTGCACGGTGAGGTCTTAAATACAAGTTTAATCTTCCAAAAGACACTCCATATCATTTTCACACTCTCATTCAATAGAATTTTACTAGCTGTCAGTAGCTATCCCAAATATTCATGATATGAGGTTCAGAATATCACTTCTATTATCTGTTCAGGAAGCAAGTAAAGGAGAGTTAAAATTGTTTGTGAAGTACAGGATGAATTGTTTTTCCACTACCCAAGTCCTCCAAGGGAAAAAGAAGGGCAAGCCTTGGAATGTGTCCTAAATGTTAACAAATTCCACAGTGCATCACCTTTCTCTGGTCACGCTCAGCTACAGAACTTATCCAACTCCCTCGTGTTAAGCTATGAAGTCTAGCCTGTGTGAACCTATTGCACCTTTCTGTGCATTCGTTTCATGGATTTCTTTCCTACCTCAGCTATATATGGAAAAAGAAAAAGCAAGTAACCCCTAAGGCATCCCACTACACATACTCAAATGACTGTAAAAAAATAAAATCAATGCTTTACTCTGAAAAGATGTAAGTAGCAGAGGCTTCTCCTCCTGTCCAACTTCTCCCCCTCATTTTCAGCCACCTGTTTGCTTCTTGTCTTTCAATTGCCTGGGATCTGGGCCCTGCCACTCTACAAGAGGAAGAGAGATCTGAATAATACCACCAATATGTGTGTAATTTTAAATGATTAAATTTAAATAGCAATTATTTATTTAACTAATACACATACATGACAATTTACCCTATAATGTTTCATATTTGTATATGAATTTATTTATGTATAATTATTTGTTATCCTGCCCTTCAGTTCTACAACTCCTACAGCTTGCAGTCCAATTAAAAACAAATAAGCAACCAAAAAATATCAATTTAAATGAGTATCAAAATAAAATAAGCTAACTGAAGTAACACTGGTTTTGGCCTATGTAGTCATGGAAATCGCAGGAGCCAGCACAACGAAACTCACTAGTGCACTGGGTTCCCTCCTCATTCCCCATGTGCCCCCCCGATTGGCTCGGGGTGGTCAGGAGTGCCCCCGTAACAGTGCATGGAGGTAGGAGAGGAAAAACTGTTCCATCCATGTTTACACTGATGAATGATTGCCTTAGAACAGGTGTAGACAACCTAAGGCCCGTGGGCCGGATGCGGTCCAATCACCTTCTCAATCCGGCCAGCGGACGGTCCGGGAATCAGTGTGTTTTTACATGAGTGTCCTTTTATTTAAAATGCATCTCTGGGTTATTTGTGGGGCATAGAAATCCGTTCTCCCCCACCCCCACCCCGCAAAAAAATATAGTCCGGCCCACCACATGGTCTGAGGGATGGTGGACCGGCCCGTGGCTGAAAAAGGTTGCTGACCCCTGCTTTAGAACAATGTTGGACTTCATCTGATGAGAAAAGCGGAGGAGAATGTGAAATTCAGAAAATTCTGCACAGAACGGAAATCAATAACAGATATGGGTGCAAACAAATCGGAGTGGAGCAGAATGAGAAAGGAGAAGTGTTATAGAGGAGAAATAGAAAAGGAGGGGTGGTTAACAAAAGGAAGAGTTCAAAGGAAGCTGTGGGGGTGCAAAGAAAGAAGAGAGCACGCACTGTGGGACACAGTTAGTGAAATGATGTACCCCTCTCAAATTAACAAGTGAATGTAAAAGAAGCCCTTGGTTTAGAGCAGTGGTTCCCAACCTTTTTTTTTTTTTTGGCCATGCCCCACCAAAGCATCTCTAAAATCGTGATTGCCCACCCCCACCCCGGTGACATATAATTCTTATTATTCAAACTCCTATTCACGTGGAGAAAGCCTAAAAGGCTATTCACTGTTAATAACTCATTCTCGAATTGCCCCCCTTAAAAATCAATTTGCCCCCCTGTGGGGGCGAGTGCCCTACGTTGGAAACCACAGGTTTAGAGGAAATAAAATATCCTATTTATCTAGAGCTTCCATTTACTACTTTTTCAATTAAAAATTCTGGGGCTGGCATATACTCTACTGTGTAAAAAAGCAGGACTGCTGTTGAAAAATGCAGAACTCTTTTGGAACTGGAACTCTGCTGCTGAAGAGCCGGCTGACTCATCCTGAACATAATGGAGGTAGATAGGGCAGGGGAGTAAGAAAAGTAAGACACCTATGTTTAAAATATTAAAAGACAATTCCTCAAGGTGCCTTTGCAAAGCCTCTTTAATATGCTATACCTGTTCTTTTACAAACCACTTAAATAGCCTGAAGTGCAGGATTTAAAATGAAATGCCCTCGAGGCCTGGGCCGAGAAAGAGGAAATGTTACATAGTGCAGTGTTTCAAAACTTCCCTTCTTTTCTTCTGTTCTTCAAAAACTGCGTAATTGTATGAAAAATTCACTGACATTTTCTGCTAGGATTTGAAGTCTTTAAAACGACAAGCGTGCAACTTTAAGTCTCATCTACTGCGGTGTCTTTAAAGAGGAAATCTGCTGGGTCATCACAATTATATCTGTAGCATGTCTCCTAACTCTTAAAAAAAAACAAAAACCCAAAACCCCACCTCTGTAGTTAAAACCATTTTAAAATATATTTTCCAGTCTTCCCATTATTCATGTAGCCGGCCCTACTCTACACTGGAACAGTTTGTTGTCTTTTGATGCCACAGTTGCACTGGAGTACCTGGTAAAAAATAACTGAGGAGGCTGAAATGACACAATCCAAAGGCCCAGGCCTCCTTGAGTATGTTCAAATAAACAAACAGCAATCCAATTCTATCAGGATACAAGTAATTACTGTACAGTATCTAACCAAACACTACTACTACTACTACTACTACTACTACTACTACTACTACACTGCCAAGATAAATTTCAAAATGGTGCTTATGCGGGAGCAACCTGGAAGTCTAATAGAGTTACAAACCCTACATATATGTAAATAAATTGTGGAATTTAGTCACAGCCTTTTGGCCGATAAGTCTAGTGAAATGTTCTTCAATATTTCATTGAAGGTATCAGGTCTTTAAATCAAACTAATTTGCTTTTCCTTAGGGCTTAAATGGCATAGCAATAAAGAAGGATTCACTTCAAGATTCACTAAATACTAGTCAAAGAAACTTCTATACTGACATCTAGTGAACTTCTATAGCAACAAGAAATAACACAAGAATTTTAAGCATTTACATAGTATTTTTCATGTTCAAAGTGCTTTACAAATTCTCACTTCCAAATCTGTAGGTAAAATGAGAATGTATGCATTTCTATTACTCGTTTTTATATTTCCAGGAAGCATTTGATTTTTTTAAAAAATAATAATAATACCATTTTGTTTTTGTAGCTAATATTCCAGTTTCTTGGAAAGTGTCATTAGAAACATCTAGAGAAGTTACGATTCAGAAAATTTGCATTCAAAATATTATTGATAAAATTGCCAACATTGTTATATGTATATTTTTGGACCACTGCATTCAGGCTTTTTCATCTGCATTCTAGCTTTTTCATTTGAGGGTGGCAAAGATTAGGAGTTTTTAGGAATCACAGTTAGCCTGAACCGTCATCAATTGCCATGGGTAAAAAATTGCTATGATGACCAGACAGAAAAAAGGACATACTGTACATAATAACCATAAGAGGTACAGCTTCTCATGCAGGTGAAGAAAAGAAAAAGCTGCACCTGCCAACATTCAGTCTTCATATAACCATTTGAAGTACATGTACCAGCATGGATTTACTACACCCTGATGTGGCTAACTATATTTTACTCAAAGTAGACCCATTTAAATGAACGGACCTAAGTTAGTCAGGTCCATTAATTCAAATGGATCTACTCAGAGTATAGCATTGGGTACAACTCCAACATTCTAACCCTGATAATGAGAAGATCGTAACAAATCTATTAATCTCATCATCGCTTTGGGGACCTTGGCCAAAAAGAGGTATCAAGGAAATATGAAATATACCCCAAATGTGCAGCTGCTTTCGTGTGAATATAGAAGGGCTCTTGGTGGTAACATATTAAAGCAATTCTGAGAATTTGTCACAAACACATAGCTATATCAGCAGGAACTTTCAGGCCACTTTATCTCATCTAAAATTATTTCAGCTTCTCTGTATAGAACACAATTTTTGAGCCTCCACCTGTCATAAGAAGAGCTTTGCTGGATCAGACTGAAGGCCTATCTAGTTCAGCATTCTGTTCTCACAGTGACTACCTAGATCTTTGAAAATGAATGGGCCTATCTGTCAATTTTGGGTTTGCTCATGTTCTTATTTTTCCAATCTTAAATTCATTTTGGTACATTTCCACATCAGTTTGAGATTTTTTATTTACTTTAAAAGTCTTTATGATTTATTTATTTTTTGCATTTTAGTGTGCATTTCTCATGCACAATTTTACCCAGTATACACATTTTTGCAAGCACCTTCCCTAATATAATGCATTTTTGTACATTTAACGGCACGCATTGCCCTAGTACAGACATTTTTGATTGGAGAACTGGATCGCTAAATTCAGAGAAGTGCTGATTTTCAAGGATAGCTGTGTTTTGTTTACATATTGTTTTGCGATGTGTGAACTGGATGTGTTTGCATTAAAATGCAAACCAAATTTCTTCTCCGGCCTTACCTATGAGAAGCCCACAAACAGAACACAACCGCCATAGCACACTCCTGCTTGTGATCCCCAGCAATTGTATTCAGAAGCATGCCACCTCTGATTTTGGAGGTAACAACATGACTTGGAGATTACATATTGACGAGAAACCTAGAAACCTTATCTTCCATGAATCTGTCTAACCCTTCTTTCAAAGCTGTTCAAGCTGGTGGCTGTCAATACATATTGTGGTAGAGAATTCTACTGCTTAACTATGGACTGTGTTAAGAAGTTTTATCTGTCCTGAATATCCCACAGCCTTAAACAGGCTAGATGATCTGATCACAGAACATTCAAAAACAACACACACAGCCAGCATTGTTGCCACATTTTCTCCAGCTACTGTTATCATGGGAACAGCTGGGGCTCCATCTATGTACAACAGCTTGGGCTCATACTAGCACTTCCGCATGTGTCCAAAGAGGGACCACTGTAATTGATTGCATGAAAAGGGATACTCAGTAAAGCCATGATGTATTTTTAAAAAGCATATCATCCCTTCACTCCTCTCTACTGTGCTCTCTTAGCTTGGTTCAAAATGAAGGCTTGAATAGAGTCTAAGATTATTCACCAGAAGCAAAGCCATTTCTATCAACGTCCAATTCTGCATGAAAGGAAAAACAAAAATTGCAGTATTAATTATGCAACTGCATTAAACCTTCCATCAACTGGGATGTGCAGCAATGAACTAGGCTTGAAAGCAAAATTTATTTAAATTAAGCAAATGACTTTTGTTAGTAGAATTCTGATGAATAACAATAAGCTGCTTAACAAGAAGGGAGGGGGAAAATGATCAGTGATCATCATCAATCCCCTGCCGCATGAAGTCACTGCAATTAGTTTACTGAAAAGCCAATTAAATGTAGGAAGCCTGGCTAGACAAGAGAAGACAATAGTAGAGTCTGCTTCTGCTTTACTGGTTATTTACTCTATGTCTCTCACTCACATACACACGTATCCAATACAGGGCTGTCCACCGCCAATTACCCTATGGAAATATTTCCAAGAGAGAGAGAAGAAAGTAGGGGGAAAGAGGGAATCTTTTACATGCAAAAGCTCCCTAGTTCAATCTCCAGCATGTCTAGGTAGGGCTAGGAGAGAATCCTCTCTGAAATCCTGAGGAGCTGCTGCCAGCCAGTACCAGCTGAGTTAGATGGACCAGAGGTCTGAGGTAGGTTCCTAGATTCTATGTATACAGGTAAAGATCACTTCAGAGCCTGTATCAACTGAACCATCCCTGCCCCCGCTCCTGTCAGGTCTTTCTACCACCAACTACCTGTGGGGAAGGATCCCAATGACTTTTTATTAGTTAATTTTTAAAAAAATGTAATTTAATGTTTCTGTAAGATGCCTGGGGAGGATTTATATCCTTAATGCCAGGGTAATAAATAAACAAGTACAGTGGTACCTTGGGTTACATACGCTTCAGGTTACATACGCTTCAGATTACAGACTCCGCTAACCCAGAAGTAGTACCTCGGGTTAAGAACTTTGCTTCAGGATGAGAACAGAAATCGCCGCGCAGTGGCAGCGGGAGGCCCCATTAGCTAAAGTGGTGCTTCAGGTTAAGAACGGACCTCCGGAACGAATTAAGTACTTAGCCCGAGGTACCACTGTAAAGTCTGCCATGAAGTTAATAGTTCATACATTGTTTTCCAGTTTTTGATTTGCCTTAATTAAAAAAGCAGGAGATAATATTCCAACATCCTTCTAAGGCCACACTGCCCAATAGACCTAAATTGAAGGCAAGTCCACAATGCAACTTCCACAATGCAAGCCTACAAACAATTTCTAAGGAGCAGCAGTTTAATGCAATCTGCTCAGTGACCAAAATCATGACTAAGCGGTATTACAGATGCCATTCTTGTTTATGTCCTTGCTACTCTCCGATACCAAGGAAATATTTTTATGAATTCTCCAACTTTTTGAAGGCAGCCCAACCCTGTAAGGCTAAACCTCAAAAGAGCTAGCCAAGCCTTTTATTTCTTGTTCACTATCCTTCAGACTTTACCTCCTCAGCGCTGCACAGAGTCCATACATATTTTAACACAGAAAGCGGCCTGTGAGGAAATTAAACGTACTGAACCAAAAGGGCAGCTGCCTGGGGTCTCAATGCTCTGAGGGCACACACACAGCTCAGCAAAATGCAAATGTCCTAGTCAATACTAGGGCAAGTTCCAGGTTTGAGGGGGGCATCAGCAAAGTGGCTTTAGGTGGGCTCCCCTCCTACATCAGAGGAGTCTGGTGGGCTTACCTGGCAGCAGCACCTGCCAACAGTGCTGCATCAGCATTGGGCAGATTAGAACTGCCATTTAAAATTTCCGACAGTGGTTCCAATGCAATGATACTCCAGGGCGTTATGGAGAATTTTATATGGTGGCTCCAAACTTCTTGGCAGTGGGTCAGGCAAGTGTCAGTTCAGCAGCAGTGTGCTCTGCCAGCGGCAACCCAAAGATGCCATGCACTGATACTGGGGCTGAGGCAATGCAAATTTAACTTCACAGTTATTTACACTCAGAAACTAGGAATATATAGAACCCAAGAAAACAAAAATAGGCACACCAAGTTCTATGCTAAGAAAATCAAGATGTTGTGCTCAGTGAATTAATTTCATCTGTAATGAAATTTGCACAAGCTAGAAGCTTCAGTTCATAATTGCATTGCCCATATAAAAAGGTAAAGGTACCCCTGCCCGCATGGGCCAGTCTTGACAGACTCTAGGGTTGTGCGCTCATCTCACTCTAGAGGCCGGGAGCCAGCACTGTCCGCAGACACTTCCGGGTCACGTGGCCAGCGTGACAAGCTGCATCTGGTGAGCCAGCGCAGCACACGGAACGCCGTTTACCTTCCCGCTGGTAAGCGGTCCCTATTTATCTACTTGTACTTAAGGGTGCTTTCGAACTGCTAGGTGGGCAGGAGCTGGGACCGAACGACGGGAGCTCACCACGCCGCGGGGATTCGAACCGCCGACCATGCGATCGGCAAGTCCTAGGCGCTGAGGTTTTACCCACAGCGCCACCCGCGTCCATTGCCCATATATTTCAAGCCTAACTCCTCAACCAGGATGTTCAGAAATTTCCTTTTAAAATGCAATGTTTGACAAAATTTGCAAGAGATTTCAGATTCGTTGCTCTACAAAAAATAAAAAAAATAAAATAGGACTTAAAGCCCAACTTTCCAAGCTGTGCCTTTGCTTGCTGTATGTTGGACTGTTTGCTGCTATTATGAAATAGACTTTATGGCCTAATCTGGGAGTGCAACTTTCAGTAACCATAGCACCTTGGTTAAGTATGTGTTCATGTTTCAGCTCCCATACATGTATGTGTGCAAGCCTGTGCTGATTGGCAGAACCCAGGGTACACAGTTTGTCTAGTTCTCTTGAAGCTTGTGTTCTCCAAGTACAGGGGAGGATAATTCAGCTTACCTTGCTGTGGAGCTTCTGAGCATCATAGCGAATTTGGGCAAACTCACGGAGCCCAAAAGACCCACCAATTATAAGCAGCTGAAATATAAAAAAGAAGAAAAAATAACCAGAATAGAAGCAAATGAGTACCCAGAACATTGTGAGCTAAAATGCACTTTCAAAAAAGCAAGAGAGGAAAAAATAACTAGGATGGAAGGAAGGAAAGAAAAATCTAGAACACTACGTACAAAGCCAAGAAGCTGCTGGCATAAGCTGTTGTAAGGACTCTCAGGATAATGCATGTAAAGGTTTTAAACAGTCTAAAGGTGTTAAAGAATTGCCAAGCATGCTATAATACAATAGTGACTCAGACTCATTCGCACACATTGCATGATGACCCCTCGGTTTTCCAAAGCACATATATTAAAGTCAAAGCTTAATCTTTGTTCATTGATGCAGGCATGTGCATATGAGAGAGAGATGCATGGAGAATCTGCTTCAGGGAAGAGATTTGTTCTAGCTTCTGATAATCCAACTTGATTGACTGTCCATTTCGTGTCAAATGGATGGGGCTACTACAGTTTTCATTCACAAACATATCAAAAATGTCTCATTCTTGCACAGAGGACTTCAGAAGATTGTTTTTCTGAATCTCTCCTACCTCCCATTATATTTCTGACTGTATGTTTCACCTCCCCCAATGCCTTTTCCCTTTAACAGCATTTAGGGAGCCTTAACATCATAGCTCTGGGACTTGTTCTCACCATTTTCAAACTTTTAACAATTGAAGCAACAATGCTCAGCTGGCTCATTCTGGTGCCAAGGTGAAAAGGACCCAATTAAGCTTTTGGAACAAGCCAGCAGATTGGAACCAGAATCCTATGGTATGTTATTATGTAGCTAGATAAATCAGTCCCTTCTGCACCTATATCTTCATTATAGCTAATAGCTCCAAACCTCCGAGACTTATGAATAGGAGCAATATGTAAGAGAGAGAGAGAGAAATTGATATATCTATAGGAAGGTGACATTTCTCTCTGTCATAAAATGCAAATACAATTTTTGAAATCTTATACCAAGGCAAACAGAGATGACATGCTCATAGTTCTGTAATAATATACTTCTTTTTGGCGATCCCTTGTAGCCAAGTAAGACTGTCTTCCATGAACATGGTCTTAACAGTGAGTCCATAACTGACTTTGGAGGCCAATTCTGGATCCACACGTCCTTCCACAGTGGGAACATAGGTTTCTGGGAGGGAGTTGATGACGGTGAGGGTTTGCCAAGCATGCCTTCCTCTTAGCTTATTTCTTCTTTTTGCCCTGAGTTCGAGCTTCTTAAAAGTACATGACATCTTTAGGAAAGGCTGTTCTCCAACTGGAGTGCTCACGGACCAGTGTTTCCCAGATATCAGTGCCTATGTTACGTTTTTTTAGGTTTGCCTTGAGTTGGGTAGTTGCTTTGAGTTGAGTAGTTGCTTTGGAAGACGGTAATCAGGCATCTGAACAACATGACCAGTCCAACAAAGTTGATGTTGAAGAATCATTGCTTCAACACTGGTGATCTTTGCTTTTTCCAGTACACTGACATTAGTTAGCCTGTCTTCCCAAGTGACATGTAAAATTGTTTGGAGATACTGCAGCTTTCTCTTTTAATATACAACAAGTGTTCGGAACTCCAAACACTCAGGCCATTTCCCCCAAAATTCACCAGCAAACCACTACTGGCCTTTCAAATACAAGCTTGGGTGGTATAGCCTTAACTACAAAAAGAGGACTAGTAGAAGTCTCAGTGTATGACAGGAAATCAAACCATCCAAGTTGAAATTGGGAGGATGATACGTCCATGCCCTCCCCACACAAGCCTTGTACTTAGGAGCCAGAGGATACTTCAATTCAAATCCCCAATCCCTTTTGATTGGCAAAGGTTCTCCTGAGTTCCTATTTGCCTTATAGCAGGGGTAGGCAACCTAAGGCCTGTGGGCCAGATGTGGCCCAATCGCCTTCCCAATCCGGCCTGCCGACGGTCCGGGAATCAGTGTGTTTTTACATGAGTAGAATGTGTCCTTTTATTTAAAATGCATTTCTGGGTTATTTGTGGGGCATAGGAATTCGTTCATTTCCCCAAAAAAATATAGTCCGGCCCCTCACATGGTCTGATGGACGGTGGACCGGCCCATGGCTGAAAAAGGTTGCTGACCCCTGCCTTATAGAGTTCCAGCTCTGCGCTCCAAATACCTGAAGCAATCATCTCTAACTACTGGTGTTCTGCTGCCACCATATACAGTAGACACAAATATCTTTGACTGACTTTGTCACAGCCTCAATATGTTGACCTAACAGGAGACATAGTTTGAATGAACAAATATTTATTATAGTAACAGCTGAATATAACAAGTTCTTATTGTTTGTTTTCAATAACAGTGCTTGGATACTTTGTATTACGTAACATGTGCCTAGAATTCTATTCCTAATGCAAGTTCTAATCCTATCTTATACTTCCCCCTACTCCTCAGTGCCACACGAGCCAACCTTCTTCTTCCTCCAAAGCCCAACTACCTCTTTTCCTCACACGCAACTGTTCTAAAAGTCACACTCCACTCTTAGCCAATCAGCGTAAGACATGTGCCAATATCTCATTCACACCTTACTTTATATCTTACAACTATCTCTCTAAATAACATTCTACTGTATATCTCTTAACATACAAATCTGTGCAAGTCAGTGACAATGACAAACACCACAGACACTTTTTGAAAAATAATAATGATAATAATATATTATTTATACCCCACCCATCCGGCTGGCTTTCCCCAGCCACTCTGGGTGGCTCCCAACACATTAAAAACAGAATAAAACATCAAATATTAAAAACTTCCCTAAACAGGGCTGCCTTCAGATGTCTTCTAAAAGTCAGATAGTTGTTTACAGTCATACCTCGGGATGAATATGCTTCAGGTTAAGCATTTTCGGGTTGCGCTCCATGGCAACCCAGAAGTAACGGAATGCGTTACTTCCAGCTTTCGCTGCTTGCGCATGCGCAGACACTCAAAATGATGTCACGCGCATGCGCGGAAGTGGCGAAATGCGACCCACAGACGCACAGTCGCGTGTTACGTTCACTTCAGGATGCGAACAGGGCTCCGGAACGGATCCCGTTCGTATCCAGAGGTACCCCTGTATTTCCTTGACATCTGAAGGCAGGGCGTTCCACAAGGCGGGCGCCACCACCGAGAAGGCTCTCTGCCTGGTTCCCTGTAACCTCACATCTCACAGTGAGGGAACCACCAGAAGGCCCTCGGAGCTGGACCTCAGTGTCTGGGCAGAACGATGGGGGTGGAGACGCTCCTTCAGGTATACTTCCACCCACTCTGTAAAGCATCCCACTTCTCAGTGTGTGTGTTGCAGGGATGAGAGATCTGAGGACCTCCAGATATTGCTGGACCCTAACTCCCATCAGCTGTAGCCAGGCTGGCCAAAGATCAGAGAGGATCAAATTTGTAGACCGGCAACATCTGGAGGGCCACAAGTTTCCCACCCCTGATTTACTGGGAGGAGCTGCAAACAGGGGCAAAAAGCCATTCAGGGTGAAAGAAGCATTGCCTTCAAGCTGACTGGACTTTGTGACATTGATTACCTACACAGCATTGTAGCATCCTTATTTACAACAGGATTTCCAACTGGCTGGGATTAGTCCCAGAAACAATCAGAAACAGTGCTAAGAGGAAATTAAATGGGGTAACTTACAGACATTCAACAAAAGCCTAGGAACAAGTATGGGGTTTAATGCAGTGTGTTTGTCTTCCTTTAAAAATTTAAAACTGCTTTAAATGAACACACATGCTCATAATTTCTTCTTTAATGGTTATTACCGCAGTAATCATTTGTACAGGGTCTGACATAAAAAAGGTTAACTGAATGCAGTTTTGCTCTCCATTGATTTACTGAGTATATACATTCCAACAAACCCACAAACCCACAGCAACATGCCCATATGAATAATAGCTGTGCAGGACTGAAACAGCTGTACCAGGAAGGCCTGGCTTCTCAATAGTGAAACTAATTATAAAGCAACACTTAGCTGTGCTAGATCCATTAAGATGTTGTTTGCCTCTCTTCAAGCTTGCAAAGTGTATACAATAGTGTCCATGTTTCTGTTACATTTCATTAGCATATAGATATTGAATATATCATAACCTGATTTTCCCCCATAAAGAAATTGACCAATATTTCACATACCAGAAAAAAGCTAAGGGTGAAATCCTATACATGTCTATTGAAAACTAAGTACCGGTACTATTGAATTCAATGGGGCTGACTTCCAGGCAAGTGGGCTTCGGATTGAAGACTAATTGAAATAGTGTGTACATAGATTTTTAAAACTCAGGTGTGTTTAAAGGTCCAGAGAGGTCACTGGAGCTTGTGTCTGATGGATGGATGTCTGCAACTGTCTACAAAGATGTGTAGAAACTAAGACAGATGCTACTATTGTGTTTTTAGCTTTTGTAGTGCCTGCTGTTTTTATTGGGGGGGGGTCATTGCTATAATTTATTTTTTATGATTTTATATAAGCTGCCTTGAGCATCAACTGATGGAAAGTCATAGTGTATCGATTTTTTTTTTTAAAGGCCCATAATCTTGCCCTTCCAAAAGGCAGAGAAAAATTTATAGATCGTCTTCACACACCATGTATTTTCCTTTCGTCCAGGGGTATACGGTACCATGCTTGTAGCATTATTACTGTAACAGTTAGCAGTTAGCATTCTCTACTGTAAGCATTTATGTGTTGGGTCAGAGGTTTTTCACATTTGAGATTAACAACATGAGGGATCTGCTAATAATATGAGGTCTGTGTGGTGCACAAGAAAACCAGGAGAATTAGGTTTTGAACTTACATGCAGAATTGTCTCACTTTGACTCTGGCTACTGTAAAGCCAGGAAAACATGGCTACGTTAATAGGTTTTTGCATTTTACATCTGAAGGTCACCTTTAACAACACAGAACACCAATACTCCTCACTTAGACCGTGCTTTACAAACTAACCTGGAAACAAGCCAACAGCACAGCTTTCAGAAGTATCACTTGATTCAATATTCAAAGAAGGATTTTGTTGGTGTTTCAGTGAGTTCACACCAAGACACACACCAAAAGCAACATTTTTAATGAAATTATATATGCACAGAATGCAAGGTAGAATGAAACATGGGATGCAACACAGAAGCACCATCTGTCACATATGCTCAGCAACCTCAGTAACTGTTTCATGAAGAAATTGACATTAATTTCTGTTCAATAGCATTGTGAAAAACTAATTTCTGTTATTTTACTGAAATGCATGTTAAGTAAACAAATACAGACAGAGCACTGTACACAGAGGATATTAACGCTCATCAACACAAGACAGACATAAATAAAGACTGAATAAGTCAGGCCTCCTCAAACCCTGTGTTCTACTACAGATTCCAGACTCACCAAATTATTCAGTAAAATCTAAAGCAGCCAACCCTTAGGTTAGCAAAACAACAAGCAGCAATTTCTCCAGCACTGCCTAGCAATTTGCAATGTTAGATCACCTCTGTTGCTAGAGAAACTCATTCCGTTGTTGTAGCACTGATTTTGAAAGCCAGATTACAAAATTACATTCCCTTTGTCATAAATCCCTAAATTAATCACATCACAATATTCACTGCTGGCAACACAGATCATGCACTGGTGAAAAGAAAGCCGGGGAAATGTTATGAAATATTTTACTTGAAGAGGGAATGTGATAATTTTCAAGCCTCTTCTTTAAGACTGTTGTTGTTGAAGCCTCCAGCTATGCATTGTGCAGCTGCAGAACTGGAACAGTCAAATGAAATATTCTCTTTTTACTTCACAGTGATGGGAATTAAAGAGATTTGGAGGGGGGGTTCCTTTTTTAAAGAAAAACTGCTGTGTGTGCATTTTAGAGCTGCTGAAAGGTCCCAATGTGACAGCTCTGAAAACTACAGTTCTTCATTTATTCAAGTACAGCAGGGGCACAAAAAGCAAAACCCAGAAAACCAAATGCTGGCTACCAATATGGCTCAGCCCCAGACACCCTAAAGAGTCCCCCATCTTTTATCTTTCATAATAATATGGGTTTTGCTAGAAGGCAGCTCTCTCAAACAGCTCAGGTGTACCTGAACATTTGTAACTGTGTTGTCCCACTCTCCAGGAAGCTATGTGTCATCAAAATGTTTTTGTCCAGGAGACCTTGCTCTGCAATTGCAAGCTTTGAACACATAGATGAGACTTTAGAAATATCACCAACCACTTATCCTGTCACTTTTCAACTTAAATTAAGCAAAGCCAACTTTGGGTTTCTCAGCAGCCTCTGGATTCTCAGCAGTCTAGTAGCCTGGATGCATAGCTTGCTGTATGAATCATACTGTGACAAATGTAGCATCGTTCCTTAGATGTCGTATTCATACCTACAACTTTGTCAAGACAATTATCTTCGTTGTCTCACACAGGAACATAAGATGGCCTATCTAGGCCATCATCCTGTTCTCACAGTAGTCAACCAGATGCCTGTGGGAAGCCTGCAACACAGACCAGAGTGCGACAGCACTCTGCCCCCCTGCGATTCCCAGCATACTGCCTCCAAAAGTGGAAGCAAAACACAGCCATCGTGGTTGGTAGCCACTTGTCATCCCTGAATCTGTCTAATCCTCTTTTAAAACTATCCAAGTTGGTGGCCACCTCAGGTGGAAGCAAGTTCCATAGTTTAACTATGCACTGCTTGAAAAAAAATACTTTCTTTTATCTGTCCTGGATCTTTCAACATTCAGCTTCATTGTTATGAGAGAGAGAGAGAGAGAGAGAGAGAGAGAGAGAGAGAGAGAGAAACAACTTTTCTTTACTCAGTTTCTCTGGGCCAAGCATAATTTTAAAAACAAGAGCCCTCACTCCTTCTTGCTCATCAGCAAGTGGTTCTCAGGCAAGTGGTTGCTCATCAGCAAGTGGTTGCCTCTGAACTCTTGAGGTTCCGTATAATCATGACCACACTACTTCTCCATTAATATATCACATCCCCTTTTCAAGTCGTGTGAGTGGCCACTGCCTTTGTACCTTGTGGCAGCAATTTACTCCATGAAGAAGCACTTTCCTTTATCTGTCCTGAATTTTCCAACATTCAGCTTCATTGGATGTTATGGAGGAGGGATAAAAACACTTCTGTCTCCACTTTCATAAATTTATAAACTTACATAAATTTATAAACTTCCACCATGTCTCATCTCAACTCATCTCTAAACTAGTAAGTTTAAAGCAACCTTTCTTCACAGAGGAGTTGCTTTACCCACTTGATCATTTTGGTTGCCCTTTTTTGAACCTTTTCACAGCATAGCCCTGTACAGACCTGTCCTTTCCCTTCATCTTTCATCTCAAGCAACACTGATCCCAGAAAGTCCCCCTACTATCAGTCTCAGTACAGTATGCAAGAGTCACCTGAGGAATGAGTACAGAAGCACACTCACAAACAAACCAATATTGCTATGCATGACTAGACAAGTCCCTCAAAACACATACAAATGTTTTGCAAACGTGTGGGTATGCTCACGTTTCATACACCCCTAAGCCAGAGTTTATTTTAAACAGGCACCCCCAAATTCGGCCCTCCAGTTGTTTTGGGACAACAATTCCCATCACGCCTGACCACTGGTCCTGTTAGCTAGGGATGATGTGAGTTGTAGTCCCAATACAGCTGGAGGGCTGAGTTTGCAGATGCCTGATTTTAAACAATTATTTTAAAACGACACGCAAACCAGGCCTGTGGCCATCAGGTCTTTTGGACTTGCTTTGAATAGCCAGCTTCATGTATTATCATTCTCTCAACTTCCAACTGTAGTCTTTTGTGTTCTTACACAAATGTAGCCAAATGATGGCACCACCAATACATAGAAGGGCAGTACTCCAAGGTCTGTATGAGTACAACTGAGGGGGAGATTACCCCCCCCAAAAAAAACCAGTCCAATGAGAATTCAATGGCCATAGAACATTGGCTGATTGAAAGCAAAAAAAATCTGATAACCAACTAGAAGAATAGTTGAAAAGGAGCATGTCCAGCTGACTGGAACAGTGAACGGGAACGTGCCAGGCTGCAGTACTTTTGCACATCCCACTTATACATGCCATCAGCAAGCTAACATACACAGAATGGTTGGTGGCGCTAATGATTTTTTGCTGTTCCGTGACACATCTCAAACCTTGCTACTTGCAGAAGACATTTCTCCCAATAAAATAAAGATGTACTCAGTAGGCTGGAAAACCATCTAGGTTAAATAAAAAAAGATGTAGACTGACATCAGCCTTATTTGGTTCGCCTAATCTAGTTTATGAGTGTTATGAGCAATTCTGAAAGTGACATGCATGAAATACCATGTGCCAGGCCTTTGGCTCTTCCATTTGGTTAGAAACAAGCTGGTTTTGCCCTTGATTCCAAGAGAGGATCACTCTGGTCATAAGATGCCTATCCTCAAGCAATTTTTATGGATGAGTGGGAAATGCTAGCTTCATACTTCCTTCCATCTTGAATGGAGAGGTAAAAACAAAAGCTGCACATTTAATCACAAAGGACTCCCTGTTGAGCAAATACCCTGCTCCTCTGAGCCACACAAGAGAGTTTCTCCAAAGTTCACAGAATCATATACTCGTAGAGTTGGAAAGGACCCAAGGGTCATCTAGTCCAACACCCCCAAAATGCAGGAATCTCAGCTAAAGCATCCATGACAGATGGCCATCCAATCTCTGCTCAAAAACCTCCAATGAAGGAGAGTCCACAACCGCCTGAAGAGTCCGTTCCACTGTCCAACTGTCCACTGTCCAAGTTATTCCTGATGTTTAGTCGGGAGTGTCCTTTCTTTTAACTTGAAGTCAGAGCAAGAGAAAACAAACTGGTTCCCTCTTCCATGTTACATGTGATTGCAACTTCTGTCATCCCTAACTGATGAGCTGATGAGAATTGTAGTCCAACAACATCCAGGGGCCACAGTCCCCCTACCCCTGTTCAGTAAAAAAAGCTCCCTTAGGCAAATTAATGTGATGAAGTACAGAAAATGTATTTTGCAAAAAACACAAAGAACACAAAGAACCCTCTAAAAAGAAGGCAGCCCATATGTTCCTCAGTGCAAGCATGAGCAAAAATGGCTCCTTCAACCAGACTGTTGTCATTTTGCATTACACACAGTTCTTGGCCAGGTCAGATAACAAGGGAATTAACACAGCTGCTTGAAGAACAAGTCTGTTTCGGTGGGTCAAGAACAGCTTTCCTGTTAAAAACAGGGCTGTCCCTTTCTTCCTTTAAAACAAGACACGTTGCATTTTAAGAAGTGAAGAATTCTCTCCCATCTTCATTTCAGCTCCATATGCAACGAGCCTGTCATTGCTTTTTTTAAAAAGAAGAATCTGTAGATACCTAAAGACTAGTATTATTTCTTCAGTAGCTTCCACACAACAGGGAAGTGAAACACCACACCCCCCAACACAAGGAATTAATATTCCCTTTTATCACCCAGTGTTCCATGATGTGAGAAATACAGGGCAGAAACAAAGGATAAAGATTTGGAGCCCCCCAGCCCTGCAGTTAAATGCTGCTGCTCTTTCATTAGTTGGGCAGTGACTTTTCCTGGCCAGTTAAATGGACTGCAGCAGGGTTGCTGAACTACAACTCCCATCACCCCTGGCCAGTGGGCATACTTGCTGGAGCTGATGGGAGCTGTAGTTCAGCAACATCTGGAAGGCAAAAGATTCCCACACCTGGACTACAGGGTAAAATAAGAAGCTGTGGCAAAACAGCCAAATTCTGAAAGGAGAAAAAGGACTGGGAGGGGCAAAGGTCAATACTGAGCAACAGACTGAGGAGCAGAATGGGATGACAGAAAAAGCAGCTAAGAGTTCCTCTAAATGACAGCATTACCTGCAAAGTACTCATGCTCCCTAAACATGAGGATGTGATGGAGCAATGCTCAATTTCTGAGAATGGCTGAGCAACAGACTTACTGCAAATGGGCCTCCTTTTCTGTGGTCCATTAAAATTGGTGGCTTACCACTATCTGTGGTGTACCATGTTTGAATGGCAAAGGCATGTAGAGACAGTTTTCCTTAAGCAGCTGGCTCTCAAGTATGGGATGCTCTCCCCTAAGGGCTTAGGGTTCACCTTTGCATGAGCATTTTCTGAGGGCAGCTTGGGATAGTATCTGGCTAGTGTTATTTCTTCATGGTTTCCAATACATAGACAAACCACTTGACTTCAGGCTTTCATCTTTCTTCTTCCAACATTAAACAGCAGAATGTGTACTATTACACCTCCCACTGCATATATTGCCCATGGCATCAGCCATCAGTAATGATAAAAGACAAACAAAAAACAACAGATGACAGTCATGGCAAATACAGAGATGAAAATTTGTTTTTCTAAACACAATTAATTTAAGCAACGGGCAAAGCGTCAGCCAGTGTGATGGCTGATTTTATTTTGTCCTATAGAAGTCATGACAATCATTTCTGGAGGATAATATAAAATAGCTGCAGTCACCAGCTTGTGATTGTGATTAGGCAAAACTTGCCAGCCAGCCCTATAGATGCGCCTAAGCTCAGCAGCTTTATTTTCTTATAGAAGTGAATGGCTTCCATTCACTTCAGTGGGAAAGAATAAAGCACCAGCAGTGCATGAGAACCCTCCAGAGAACAGGATGAAAGACATTTCAGTCGTGCTGCCTGCCTAACTAAAAATAAAACCACATACGATTGAATAGAGACAATATCAAGATTTTTACACCCATCTTCTGTTGGTTTTAAAGGGACACTTTTCAGATGGAGTTAGTGTTCCAAATATGAAATTCTGCATGTTCAGGAAACAGTATAATAGCAGTTTTATTGTATCAGTGGCAAAGAACTTTGCTGTCCCAGTACAGTATGCAAGAGTCACATGGGGAATGAATCACTGGCAGCTGCAACTATTATCAGAAAAGTGAAATCAACACCATATTTTAGAAACAGGAGCACCATCTACTGTATTTGAGAGCTAGGTACACTTCAAATAGAATTTCCGAAAAGAAAAAACTCTCATGGCTCTTAGAAATCAGTTTGGAAACAGTACAAAGTAGTAAGAGGCAAGGAGATGTGAAAATCCAAGCATGCGGAACAACCTCTTGTGAGACATACAGTACATATCTACAAGGTCACAAGAATTCATCCCAGCATCTGGACAGATGTTCCCATCCTGGTACTGTGGGACTTCACACCCTGCAGCGCATAAGCTGTTAAACAGTGTTTCATGCCATCTTACATCACTCTCTTAGGTTCTTGCTGGCTTATGCTAGGCACTGATATGATCACACATATTGTCAAGTTCAAAGGTGAAGAAAGCCAGATTGGAGAATTCCCCAGAATAATCATTGTATTCAGCACATTTACCTGTGTTAGTTATTTTAATCCCTCATAAATCAACTTCTTCTTTGTTCTAAAAGTTTATTTGGTTATTTAATTCACAGTGCTAGCCTTCCTAATCCTGAAATATATGGAAGATTTACAAAAGATTAAAACATAAGCAATATTGGGTTGGTGTTTTTTTTAAAAAAGTAAAAGGCAACTGACACATGGTAAAACTTGATTTCCCTAGAACACTACTATCCACTTGGTAAGTGGACTCACTAATCAGAAATGGGTCACACCAGTTGCACAATGACCATTTTCTAGGAAGTTGTTTTTTTAAGGATGTGGAAAATGACAAAAAGAGCAGAGGTGGGCATATATAAAAGATCCACGTTGCTCATGCTATTGTCCTACAAGCTAAGCCTAGGTGTCATAAAAAACCAGGCGGGAAAGCAGCAGAGTTTACAATCAGCACCAAATTGAAACAGCATCAAATGTAAGATGCACTTTTAAGGGACAACTGGAAGCATACACCAAAGCTCCCAATTCTTCCTTTGCAGCTGCAACTTTATTTATCCCCTGCTTTGTGTCACATAGGTCACATGCCAGAGGTTCCACACTTGTGTGCTCTGGTTTTTCTAAGAAAGAACACAAGAAGCTGACAAGATTCCTGTCAAATTTGTTGTAGCTGATCATAGCCTTGCTAATTTTATTCTCATGATGTTTGTATAGGTTGTTCTATGCACATAAGGCTCAGGAGAGACACCTTTGCTGGGGTCTCTGAAGGGAGGATACATTAGATTTTAATTAAATTGAAAAGTCTTCAATGTTATTAGCAGATAGCAATAGGATAACTGTAGGGAAAGCATGTAGTTCCCACGCCTGATATCAAAGCCTGCTAGACTGTCAGCAAAATGAAATTCACTATCACTTGCCTTTCTTTGGAACCCCAGAAACTAAGAATTCTACATTCTTCCTGTACTATGTCTACCTGCTGGGTAGAGAAATAAGTATGGAACAATCTAACAAAGCTACAACTGGGAGAATTCTACAAAGCCTTCCACAATTCATTCTTCCCTTTAAAAAAAAAGTTACACACAAACACACAATAGCAGGGATTTTTTTTGGGGGGGGGGGGGATTCAAACAACTTTTACCCAGTGTGCTATGACTTCCCTATACCAAGTTTATTGTATTATTTTGTATTGTATTAGGCTGAATAGTACTATGGTATTTTTACTTCAATTCTTATGTTTCTGTGTGTGTGTTTGTGCCTTTAACAGCCCGGGTTTTTGTGCTACTTATCCCAATGACCTGTCACATATATTAACGCTAACAAACAAATAATCCTATTCAGTTAATGACATAGGCAGGATTTGTGAATAGATCTTGAAGAGAAAGAATCTAATAGGAACCAAGACTGCAATTCAATCATAACACTAAATTCTGTACAAAGTCACATTTGCTGTCTGTTCAGTTTCTGCAGAAGCATGTACCATTGGAACAATGAAAACTGACCAGAATTCTGAAGCTAATGGCACAAAAACCATCATGCAAACAAACCAAAACAAACCCCTTAAGCAAAATCTACTTGTCAGCAAAACAACTGAATCTTAAAAGCCAGCAAACTAAATGTTGTGCAGCCCATTATCTATGCATCATGGCTTTTCAGGTACTCAGCAACTTTTCTAACATTGGCCCACAACGTATGCACATTTAACTTGTGCACATTCAGCTTTACGCGCATGGCAAAAATTAATAATTTTAAAGGCCAGAAAAGGGGCAGAGTCCTGGGAAAAATGACTTTGGCAATCCCATCTACCATTGAACCCAATGGATTTTAACTATATGCAATTTTGGCATTAGGCACGATCTCTGGAACGTAACCACTGTGTAAATGCAGTCTTATTGTATTCTAAATGCAGATGTCATCCAGCCAAACTCCTGAATTTTTGTTGTGCTTTTTCCCTTGTTCTCACGCCTTTGTTTTGTATAATATCTAGACTGATTAAGAGTTCTGGAGAATTCAAAAGCTTGCTGTTTTCTGACAATTTGGTTGGTCCTCATAAAGGTGCTGCCTTTGCTTTTTAAGCATAATAACCTTACCAAGGCCTCACAATACATGGCTGTTAGGATATCCTACTGAGCTTGGTGACTTGGAAGTGCAGTAAGCCTGTTCTCAACTATTAAATTACTGAAACGAAGCACTACAAAGATTTTTCCAGAGGGAAACTTCTACAGGAAAATGAGCACTGCTACATAGTTAACCACAAACGGAATGGTAGCTAAAATTCTTAGAATGTCTGAAAGTCAGTTTATTTATGAATTGAAGTGACAGGATTGGCACTTAGCAAGTATGTTTGCTACCATTATAATAGAAAAAATGTTTTTGCTTTGCTAATGCCAAATTTTAAATTTAACTGTCCTCCCTTCGGTAATACTTGTTACAGCCAACTGGAAATTGCAGGAAAGAGTAGTGTTGTGCTCAGGTCCTGCATGCAGGCTTCCCCACCGGCATCTGATTGGCCACTGTGAGAACAGAGTGCCAGATTAGATGGGCTTTTGGCCTGATTCTGTGGGGCTCTTCTTACATTTAGTCTCCCTGCAATGGCACGGGTTTCAACTGGATAAAGTCCCTTTCAACCTAGTAATGATACCCCAAAGGCATGTGGAAGTTCCTTTCTTCCCCATGTCGTATCAAAAGAATCTGGAAAGGTCCATCATCTAAGCCGGTATGGCATTTTGAATCTAATGGCATTCGGAGTCTAACGGCAGCCAAGCAGATGCTCCTGGGAAGCTTCCAAGCAGGGCACGAAGACAACAGCCAAGGCATCTGCCGAAGCGCCAGGCACAAAGACAAGAAGGGGGGGAGGAGTTGAAAGAGTGCCACACATCAACAGCCTTCCAGGGCACTAAGATGGTCACCAGCTGCCTCACATCCGGCTGGGTCTCTCCAATGTCAGGCAAATTGGGGCAGGGCACCAAAGCAGCGGTGCTCTTTCATGCAGTAGTTAGGAAGTCAGAGCTATGAGCTGTAGAATCGCAGAATCGTAGAATTAGAAGGGACCACAAGGGTCATCTAGTCCAACCCATGATGCGGGAATAATTTTGCCCAAACCTAGAGATTAAGTCGAGTCTCCTGCTCTACCAACTGAGCTATCCCACATATGCCTGCTCCATGTATTTCACTCACACCTGCTTTCCAGTACAGTGGAACCTCGGGTTACATACGCTTCAGGTTACAGACTACGCTAACCTAGAAACAGTACCTCGGGTTAAGAACTTTACTTCAGGATGAGAACAGAAACCGTGCTCCGGTGGCGTGGCAGCAGCAGGAGGCCCCATTAGCTAAAGTGGTGCTTCTGGTTAAGAACGGTTTCAGGTTAAGAACAGACCTTCGGAACGAATTAAGTACTTAACCCGAGGTACCACTGTTCTGGCCGGGACGCGGGTGGCGCTGTGGGTTACACCACAGAGCCTAGGAATTGTTGATCAGAAGGTCGACGGTTCAAATCCCTGCAACGGGGTGAGCTCCCGTTGCTCGGTCCCTGCTCCTGCCAACCTAGCAGTTCAAAAGCACGTCAAAGTGCAAGTAGATAAATAGGTACCGCTCCGGCGGGAAGGTAAACGGCGTTTCCGTGTACTGCTCTGGTTCACCAGAAGCGGCTTAGTCATGCTGGCCACATGACCCGGAAGCTGTACGCCGGCTCCCTCGGCCAATAAAGCGAGATGAGTGCCGCAACCCCAGAGTCGGTCACGACTGGACCTAATGATCAGGGGTCCCTTTACCTTTACCACTTTACTGGGTTACAGCTAACTAATAAAATTATTGGGGGGCGGTTTTCCTTGTTTCTTTACCCGACAAGCACAGCCACCCTCTAAAAAATGGGTCAGTTCTAGAATACTGTACTTTTAAAGTCACGCTGTAATGCGTCTCATGCAATGCGGCAAGAAGAATATAAAGAACGACACCCCCCCTCTCCATTTCAGTATATAATCTCCTCATCTGCCCGGGGGGGGGGTGTCACGTGACCCTATTTAAGCGGGGGGAGGGGGAGCGCAGAGCGAGCCGCTGCTGAAACGCTCGCGCCGCCCGACGCAAGGCCTCGTCGCGCCTTCGACGGCCTTCCCGAGAAGGTTGCCCCCTAGCGGCCGGTCCGGGGCGCTGCAGCCTCCGCCATTGGCAAACGAAGCCCCGCCCTCCGCCAGCGCTTCGCGGCCGCTCTGCCGAGCTAGTTCTAGGCGAGCGTCCCGCCCGCCGCCCCCTCCCCCCGGCAGCCGCTCACCATCATGGGGACTCCATACTGTAGCGTCTTGCTTTTCCGCAGCGCTCGCATTCCGACCATGGCTGGAGCGGCCCAGTATCTCGCCTTCTTGGGCCCGGGGGGCGGGGGGAGGCCGTTCCTGCAGCTCTTCCGGCGTCCTACCGAAACGCTCGTCCCTCGGATCCCGAAGCCGGGAGCAGCCGAGTTCCGCCGTTCGAAAAGGGAAACGGGGATGGGGGGGGCGGGAGAATAAAAATAAAAATTTCCACTCGCAGGGACTCCTCGATTGGGCACCCGGTTAGCGGTCCAGATGCCTAAAACCGACGGAAGGAGGGCTTGGCAGGCAGAAATTCGACGGGTCCAGTTTCCCCGAATTTGGAGGCAGACAAATAAAGGACGTAATTAGTGCTGCTTGTGTCCTCGATTTCACCGAATCTATTTAATTCCGCCGCTAATTGGTTCCATCCTGAAAGCACATTTCAGCACATCACAAACTATAAACTAAGGCATATGCTGACGCCATGCGGACGGGTTATTTCGGATCTTTACCCTAAGCATAAGAAATAAGAACAAATCAAACTTAAACCATCGTGTAAACAGAAGTCTCATGTACTCATTAGATGGGTGTTGTTTCCAGGCAGATTATCCCAGTGTTTCTTTTTCTAGATTTTTTATATCTGTGTCTATATGAAGCTGGCTGGTGGGCTATATTCTGTCTCAAAAACTCATTATCATATATCCTTGGCAGCAGTGACACTAGCTTTAAAGAATGAATAAATGACATACTAAATTAGAGGCTGCGAAAGGAAAATAGATCTGAGAAAGCCGTTTTTTAAAGCTGTTATGCCCAAACCTAGATACAGCCCCCCCCCCCGCCTCTCCTGGTAATGCGACCATCTCAAAATTGGCAAAGCAGATTTGATCACTGTCCTTGCGTTTATCCACTAGATGGCATATTCTTTATACCAAATGTTAAAGCAATACCTTTTCTCCTTGCCATGTTGCAGAGAATTAACAGCTATTTTAAAAATGGAATGAAATCCTGTCTTCCATTCAGGCTTGTGGATTATACAGAGCTCTGCACCAAACAAAATCAGGAGAAGGTTAATTTATCCTGCTGTTGTTGTTGATATCCATCTGTCTCAAGAGACAATGGAATGCACTTCAAGGGGTGAAGTCAAACTACTGTGTTAGCAGCACCAAAGTGATCTCCTTGGGGCGCAAGCCTGGGCAGTGTGTATGGAGGTCCTGGGCTTCCCAGATGATAACACACACACCCCTTGGCCTCGCTGATGTGGTCTAAAGGAAAGCAGAGCAATACGTTTGGCACCAGCTTGGCTGCAGGAATTGCCCAAAGGAGGTGTACAAGGCACCATCCAACAGTCTTAGGGATTCCACTCCAAATTTATGTAGGGTTTACTCCTTAGCCTTCTGTTGTCCTGAAGATATCCCGCAAGGCAGCAGAGATTTGGATCAGAGCTTTCCTTCTAGATGGACTACCTTCCCAGGTTGACGAGCCTCATCTGTCCCTCACTTCCCTCTACAGCACGTGCAGAAACCACCTTCTGGACTATTGGACCCACTATTAGTCTTGTGTGCTCAGTCTGCCAGAGCTTGTCTTCGCATGCAGGGGAGGTTCCTAACTCATGGAGGGTTTGAGACCCATCAGTTACCCTCACCTGGTTTAGCTGGCTAATAGTTTGTCCATCTTTTGTCCCCACCCTGCACTCAGCTCTCACTTGTAGCTCTTAGAAGCTGCCAGCATGTGACACCGGCACCAGTCACATCCCAGGAATGAATATTATAGATTTGTACTGTTTCAAAATAAATCAGTGGTTAAAAAATAATAATACTCCAAACACTGTAGGGTTTGTTTGTTTTGTACAGCAAATACAGAACTGTAGAGGATGAAGAGTAGCAACACTGCAACATCATATACAAGTGTGATTACTACTCACTAACAAACAAAATTGTTGATGCCTTAAACACATAAAGGGTCTATCACAGTGATCTGTATAGAAAAAGAACTGTGTTGAAACAACAGCAAGTCACAAGCCCCATCTTTTCTTAAGGTGCTGTACAGACCAGAGAGAGGACAGGAATATCCAGTACCTGGATTGTTTCCCCGGTTCACTGAACTCTAATTCACTGAAGCTGTCTGCCTGAGTATATACAGACCTTGGCTTAACTGTAGCTTCTGTTTTCTAATTGGATGGAAGTTGATTTGAAGGAAAGCACATCAAACAGGAGTAATTCTCAAGAAGCTATAGGATGCCTATGGATTGTGGCTAACGTAATGTGTACTCAGCTTCAAACACCAATGGTGGGCACACACTGGAGCTGGAGTCCATAGTAACATGTACATGACTTTAGGCTGCAATCCTATGCAGACTATTCTGGGAGTATGTGCCACTGAACTCAGTGCGGCTTATTCCTGAATGGACATGCATAGGATTGTGCTGTTAAAGAACTTCTGTGCTTCCCTTCAATTAAAAAAAAAAAAAATCACAACAGTTTGCATAATTAAAACAATAAAATTAAACAGAAGCAAAAAAAACCTCAATAAAGACCACACCATATAAAACAGCAAATAAAAGGCATTAAATGTCTTAAAACCAGAACTGTTAGGGAAAATTGAAAGGGCCTAGGATCTAACCTTCTGGAAAATTTCATTAAGATCAGTCATGTAGTTTAAAGATAACTGTTATGTTTTATCTCCCATTGAATTTCTAAGACAGCCATAAGCAGTCAAGCACTAGTGCTTTGAGGGGACACATTAGTCCAAAGAGTGTGTGTAGAAATAGCTTTTATAGCCAGGATACAGATAAGCAGCTCAGAATCAACCCTGTTGTTTTGTTAACTCCTCAGAAAACACTCAGCTGCATTGCAGCAAGAACAACAGGACTGCAGTCTGGTATCAATACCAAAGGCCTTCTTCAAACACATTATTGTACAGCATGCATTGGATTAGGCTGCCCATCATCTTTTCTCTGGATGATCTTCATGTGCCTTGAACCAGAGGGGCAAGTACAACACATAATTTCTGCAGTTTATCTTAAGTTTTTTAAAAGACAAATCCACCCATGAAACAGCAAAACAGCTATGGTTGCTTCCACACAGTGTTTCATTTGGAACAGCCATCACCCAGTCACTTTTTATGGAGAATCCAATCAAACAATGATTACACAAGTATGTCTCTAAATATTCAAAAATATAGGGTGGGAATTACCCAAACTCTTCTCCAAGAATAGTATGGTCCGGCTGAGGACCCTTTGAGGTGAGACCAGGTGAAAATGTGACAGCTGTTCGTTTCACCCAGACCTTTCTGCAGCATCTGCATACTGCTGCTTCTTTAAGGTGTCTAGGGGTACTTCCTTTTTGAATTTATTTTTGCCTAAAGGTGAAGAGAGGGTACTAATGGCAAGCAGAGAATGTTTCCTTGCAACTAACCAGAGCACAGATGTCAAGAAATGGTAAGCTGCTTGAGTGACTGAATCTAATATACCATAAAGGCTTCTTTCCAAGGGAAAGCAATTGTCTTATTGAAAGGAGGCATGTCGGAAGTTTTCCATTTCGAAATTTCTTCCACTTTGTTCAGTTGGCTTCTGGATCATTCCACTGAATTGTCACAGAGCATGTATGCAATCTCTTCTGTCAGACATGGGGGGCTATTACCATCGTTCAGAATTGAAACTGATGCAAACCAGCGCATAAAAATTATTTTCTGAGAAATGTTTTAGTGTGCATTGTTATCTATATTTTTACTAGTGCAAGGGCAGCAGACATCCAGAGCAAGTTAGTTCCATACACTTAACATTGTCCAATTCCCCAGCTAAAACTGGCCAGTGTTTTCACCCAGTGTCCACCACAATATGGGCCTGATACACACCTCAGTGCAGGATAGTGGTTAGACTAGCATTCAGTATACCTCAATACCAGTTACTGAGGAACACAAGTGCGAGAATACCTTGCTTCTCACAGGCATCTGTTAACAGCAAAACCAGACACCTTCGTCTGCCCCAGCTGCAACAAAACATGTCTTTTCTGTAGTGTTCTCTACAGCCACAGCAGGCACTGTGGGCTCTCCAGTGGTTTGACTTAACCCCTGATGGCACACTCTTTCATTGTCTTTCAAGACAGATGGAGGCCAACATGCTATGTGATGCTGAGCACACACACACGAGAGAGAGAGAGAGAGAGAGAGAGAGAGATGCAGCATACAGATATAGGGATATTGATGTCTGATGATGTACTCTTGGGCTATGATCAACAGAGCTGCCTACAGTTTTGGTTTTTCCTTTGTCGGCATGGCTATGGGTGTTGTCACAATGAGCTCCTGCATTTCAAAATTCACCTCTAGTTTATTGCTTCTAGGTCAGAGGGCATAGGATGGCAGCCTGAGATTTTTAGATCAGGCATGCTGACACCAGGTGATTCATCTCTGTTCTAATGCAAGGCGTCTCTGTTAGATTCAGCAGCAACTTCCTCTTCTTGTATTTCACCCTTTTTTGAAAGCCTTGGTAGCTGCCTCTTAAGTGCCTCTCATCATGTTTACCAAAAGCTCCCTGATTTTTGCATGCACAAGTTAACTAAATGAGGCCCACTTGAAAAACGCACTTTGAGAACTGACAAGCATTTAGCATTCTGCGCTGGCAGAATGTATACTTTTGAGGGTCAGTGAGGGCACAGGAGTAGGTACATTATGTCCATTTTCTAAATGAACCAAGGCTGGCAATATACAAGGCAGGGAGCTAAAGAATGAAATGTTACTTTGGTCCAGACAGCATCATATCACCCCAGAAGCTGATCTTTGTCATGCTAATGGGTGATTGGAATGATTGAAATACAAATACAACAGCAGAAGAGAAAAATAAATAGCACCACAGGGCACAAAAGGGTAGAAATAAAATTGAGGTTATTGTGTGTGTAACTGAACCAAATAAATCTATGTATACATGCAGCAATAATGGGAATTTAATGTTGCATCGGGTCAAGTGAAGAGATAATAATCACTAGGCTTTTGTTTAGCAAATTGCAAAAAAATATTTCCCCCTCTTTCTAATGGCTTTTGGTGGCAGGAC